GCCTCCAGCTGTGGAGGGAGCGCTGCCTTCCCTCAGCCTTCTCTGAGCCCCCTCATTTTTCCTCTTTTTCTTCATTTCCCCTTCACTTTAGCAGCATGGCGAGCCAGAGGTTCCTGTTTCAAGCAGCAGAACATTGTATTTCATTAGCTCCATTACACACTTGGTTTAATTTCCAATTAGCTTGGGATGCTGGGGAAATAATCTGATTGCTTTGACTGGTTGGCGTTCTGGATGTGCCGAGCTTCCCTCCTGTCCCCCCAGCCCCTGCAAAGCTTTGCTGTGTGGGCTGCCAGGCAGACATGCAGGTTTTCAGCCACCCCCTTCCCTCCCTGGTGCTGTTTGGAACCATTTGCTGTGAGCTGAAGGTTTGAGCTGCCAGAAGGAATCACTTGGAAATCACAGTGCTCCTACCTCTGCAGCTTCCCTGGAGGCCGGCTCTGGTCTGCCTGGCTGCAGAGGGAGTTTGTCTGGAGGTGGATTTAAAATTGTTGGGTTCTTCTTAAAGCTGTGATGTAGATTTAAGTGTAGAGGTTTGGGCTTGGTCTCTTTTTTTATTTTATTTTTAGTTTTTAATAAGAGCCTGGGAGATTTTGATTATCCTCATCCCAATCATGCTTCTCCAAGAACCTAAATGTATTGGGTAATTCCAATAAATTCCTCCAAATTTTTCAATAAATTTCTTTCAATAAATTCCTCCAAAATTATCAATAAATTCCAATAAATTTCCTCCAGTAATTTCCTCCAAATTTGTCAAAATTCCTCCAGCCAAAAGGAGGTTTATTGTCATTCAGCTCATCCCATGCTCCAAAGGGATGTTGCTGTGGCTGCATTTGAATAATGTCATTGTGTACCCAGGGTAAACGGATTTACATCAGCTAGCCAGGGACCTGTTATTGTTATTAATTATTATTAATTCTTCAATCTGCTCTGCATTTTTATTTTCTGGGGGATTTTTAGGGAGATCATAATTTGGTAGCTCTAAGCTTCAAGTTGGCATTCTTAATTGCGAGTCAAATGAGGCATTTTCCAGTGGAGTTAACTTGGAATTTTAAAAGCTTTTTCTGTTCATTAGCTGTTTATGCTCACATTTCTGTGGCTACTGTTGACTTCTGGGGTTTTTTTATTATTTTTGAGAACTCAAGACTACACCAGCTGTTAGTTTTATGTACTTTAAGTCTGCTTCTTCCAGTCTGTGGGATAAAGTATACAAGTGGTTGGTTTCTCATCAAAATAAACATGGGGCATGTTTTGAAAAGCAGAGAACACTTTGTTTGCTAAAGAAACTTAGGAGTTTTTGCAGTCAGCCTGTGAAACTTGTCTAGTTCCTTGGTCCTATGCCATTTGTAAATTTATCTTACTTTTATGTCTGATTTATCTTACTTTTATGTCCCTCAGCAATTCTATATTTTTTTGTTTTAAAGAGAAAATAACTGTTCAGTTATTTTAAATAACTCAGTTACTAAGTTAAATAAATCAGTTACTTCTTGTAACTGATCACTTTGTTCTTGCTGTTTAATGTAGTTGGGCTTCCTGATGTTGTGTTGCTGTGTTAAGGAAGAAGTGTTAACCCAGCTGGAGACTTACGGTTCATCTTTGATGTTGCAGAGTTTTTTAAAAAATTTTTTGGCCAAAAAACCATCTTTTTAAATATTTCCAGTGGCGCTCCATGAGTGCCAAAGCACCCAGTGGATTGGCAGGTGAGGGAACACCAGAATTGGTACTGAGTTCTTGGTTCTTTATGGATTTTTGCCATACCAGGGTGAGAACTCTTAGTGGGGGATGCTTCAGTCCTTGACCTGAGCTCTGCCTGGGTGGGTGTCCGGTTTTTGGCTGTTTGGATGGCCTAGAAAGGCCCGGGGTGGCCTTGGGGCAGCCGCGTTTCAAAGGAGCAGAAGAGGCTTCAGTTCTTTTCTCGGTCTCGGTGTTTATTAATTGTTTATCTAAAAGATTTTCTCTCGGCCCGACAGAGCTCTGCTCAGCAGCCAGCCATGAGCACACTCCCCTCCCTCCGGGCGGTCACCTATCTTTATACCCAAAGTTGCGTGTACAATATTTATCATTTTTCCCCAATACCTTTCACCCTTATTGCCCGGTGCACTTTTAGTAATGACCAATCCCAAAGTGCCACCATCACCACAGAAGATGGAGGAGAAGAAGAAGAAGAAGGACAGGACACGCCCCAATTCCTCCATCTTACTTCTCTAAACCCCCCTGTACAGAAATCCTAAACCCTGTGTCTCACTCTCTAACTAACCAATCCCTTCACCATTCACCCCGGTGAAACCCTCCCATCCTCATACAGGTGTCGTCTCCTGTGTAGGATCAAAGTGCAGCCACCAGACACTTCTGGCAACATCCCAGGACTCCCGAGCCCCCCAAGGGTGCTCTCGGTGACACCTCAGTGCTGAGGTGCTGAGATCCCACAGGTGGGAGCAGCTGGCAGAGCAGGAGCTGGGTGCTGGAGCTGTGCTCTGTGTTCCTGCTGTGCCTGAGGCAGTGGCAGTGCCAGGGAAGAGGTGAGGCTGTGCTGCAGCCAGTGTTTGTGTTGGACTGCTTCCTGAGAGCTGTTTGCCTTTCAGCTCTGCTGGGGCTGTGTGAAAAGCCTTGAAGATGCTGATTGTTTTTGTTGGCATAGCACAACACCAGAACACATCAATATGTTCAGTGCAAATAGCCAGCAAGTCCTTTTTTTTTAATAAATATTGTTTAAAGTTTGCATTTATTCCCCGCCCTTTCCCTTATCCCCTTTACTTCAATTATCACTGGTGCTGAGGTGGGAGGTGAGGACCAGTTTTAATTGTGGATTGTGGATTGTAGATCCCAGCTCCTCTGGCAGGACTGAGCTGCCACCAGAACCCCTCCCAGTCCTTTTTCTGACACTCAAGGAGACCACAGCCCATGTCCCCAAGCCCTTCTCCCACTTCCTCATGGATGCTTTCAATGGAATTATGTGTGGATTGTCACCTGCTGTCCCATCCTCAGCTCTGAGCTGGACACTTGCATTTTTTTGCTGACAGGCACCCAAAAAGATGCTGAGAGCAAAATCTCATTCTCAGTTTGGTCTCTGGGTTGGAGATGCTGCTCTCCACCCGTGGGAGCAGCATTTCTGTGCATCCATGGCAAACACAGGGAGAGACTCCATGGAGCAAGGAAGGAAATATCCTAAACCCTGTGCTTCTATCTTGTAAGTGCCCAAAAACATCTAAATATGGCACCTGGGGACATGATTCAGTGGTGAGCTTAACAGTGCTGGGTTAATGGTTGAATTAACTTATTTTGGAGTTCTTCTCCAGTCTCAGTTCTGTTCTAAAATTCTCTCTTAGTTACTAATTTATCAATTACTGCCTGGCAGTGTGAGTGCAGTTGCCAGAGCTCCTGTCCCTCTCTGACTGACAGGTCCCTTTCTCTGAAGCTTTGGCTGTGTAAATTTTTTTGTCAATTGAAAATTTTTTTCCCAAAGCACTGTCATTTTGTAAGTACTTTTTCATAAGGGTTTTGAACTTTCAAGTGTTTTTTGTGGTTTGTCTTCACTGGTAACTTCAAAAATACAATGATAATAAAAATCTTTTACTTCAGTTTTATGCTGTGTCACATTAACCATTCAGGAATTAGGCAAATTAAATAATGAGGAGGATAAGCAGCCTATCTTAATAAGTTCCTCATTAAAACAGTACAAGAAGACAGCAGCACTGATTGCTAATGATTTTGGTGACAGAAGGCTCATTCAACTAATGAAATTCATAAAATCTTGGATCAGAATCCTATCTCTGACCTCTAGGTGTGAAATGCAGAACAATCAACATCACTGTGCCTGTGCAATGACTTTGGAATATATTGGTTTAATGACAAGCAGGGATGGGAACAAAGCAGGGAAAGTTCTGGTTGTGCTGTTCTTGTTTCCATTGTACTGCATCAAAAGCATCTTTAGCCATCCAGACAATCAGATGATTTTAGATAAGATGTTTCTTTGCCTTAATCTCATAGAAAATAACACCATAAATCTTCATTTGAGCAGATATTTGCTGGGAGCTGGGCTGGACATGATGTACATTGTAAAACGTCCTGAAATTGCCTTTTCATGGGGGATTTCAGTTTTCTGTGTCAAACTCATCTTAAATCCCTTTTCATGTTAGTTAAACAAATAAGACTTTTAGTTTCATCTGCAAATTTTCTATTTTGTCTCTATATTTTGCAGTTCTATTTAAAAAAAAATCTTCCCATGGAGTCTGTTGGAATAACTGTTGAATTTGAGTATGGAATTAGAAATTAAAAATTAGAAATTCCATTAGTATGGAATTTATGCTGCACTCCCACTTCTGTTTGTGTCAATTGGGACCCTGGACCTCCTCTCTGTGCTTCATTTCATCTGTGCTTAGAAAAGAGAAGACCTTATATAGCCCTAAATTCAGCAGGAATATTTTCAGGGATGAGTTGTGCTGGAGTGCTTGCTTTACCATGGCTCCATAAAGCAAAAGGATGTTCTGGGGACTGAAAATTGAAATATGTCTTATTAAAAATTTAGCAGGAGTTGCCCATTTTAGAGAAATGGTTTGTTTGCTCTCAAACTGTGTGACCTGCCAGTGCTGCTGCAGAGCTGGAGGCTGCCAGGCACCTGCCAGCTCGTTTCTGGATCACTGCTAAGCCATGTGCCATGAGGAAAATGGGCAAGAGGCACACATTCCTGGATAAATAGGGCAGCTGGAGGTTTGGGCAGCCTGACTGCAAAGCTGAGCATCCCCTGGAGCTGGGGGAGGGTGTGGAGCCTGCAGGGTGCTGCTGTTCCCTGTGGGTGCCACCAAGTCTCTGGTGATGTCCTTGCCCGGGGTTCCTGTTCCTCCCAGTGGAGCTTTGGGCTCTGCAGGTTGTGCTGCATCCCAGAAGGCTCAGCTAACTGCTGTGGCAGCTGATGGAGCTCCAGTTTGTCCCCTGTGTGTCCCCAGCCTGGCTCAATCCTGCCCAGCCCCTCCTGCTCTGCTAACAAGGAGCTCTTCTCCCCGCAGGTGGTGGCGAACGCCGTGGCCGCCCTGTCAGAGATCAGTGAGTCCCACCCCAACAGCAACCTGCTGGATCTGAACCCTCAGAACATCAACAAGCTGCTGACAGCCTTAAATGAGTGCACAGAGTGGGGGCAGATCTTCATCCTGGATTGTCTGTCCAACTACAACCCCAAGGATGACCGGGAAGCTCAGAGGTGCGGTGGCTTTTGGTGGCACTTGGGGGAGGAGTTCTGGTAACAGGGCACTGTGGCAGCACAAATAAGACTTGATAAATTAGATTTTTTCTAGTTTATCAAGTCTTATTTGTGCTGCCACAGTGAAAAGCAAAACTACTTTTGCTAGCTGGGCTGATGTTGGAAACCTGCTCCTTCCTTCTGCACAGCCATTTTCTCTGTTTATCTTTTTGTATTTTATTTTCTGTTTAAATGGCTGGTTCTTATGGGGACTGGCAGTAGTAAGAAGGGATCAGCACAAGACCAAACCTGTAACAGTGGAAGCACTGTTTGGAGGATTTTCTGCTTTAAAGCAGAGCTTTCCTGTTTGGTTTTGCTGCTTTGAAAGGCAACAAACCTTTACATGCTTGTGGGTTTCCAAAGTACTGCAGCTCTGGAATATTTTCCAACTGAAAACTAGTCTGTGATATGATACAAGTGAAAATAAAGGTAAGAAATTATCTTTTTTTATTGTTCCAAATTCACCTTTGTGCTTTTACCTTTAAATGCAATGACTAAACCTAAATAAAAAGACTTTAGGGTTTGAGTAGTGGGCTGTTAGTTTGTGCACTTCAAGCCTCTCCCTCATCTGTCTCCAGAATCACAAAAAGCCAGATTGTGTTCCCAAGAAAATAAGGATTCGGCCAGAAAAGTAACTTGGAACAGGGAGACTCTGAGATGATGTATTTAATGCAGCTGATGTGGGGATGGAGGGGGAGGAAGGATCACAAGCCCACGTACAAAATCCTGGCCAGACCAGTTGGAATTTAATGGGTTTCTTCATTGACTCTTTTTTTGATGCACTGTTTCTAAGAAGCCTCCCAGTAGTCTTGCTGGGTTTTTTTTTTTCCCTTTGTGTTCTGTTTCTGTGCCAGAATCAGCTCTTAATGAGTGCTAGAAACCTGCAGAGCTCTCCAGGGTGTGAGCTTGGTGTTATCCCAGCTCTGTCAGAGGAACCACTGCTCTGAGCACCTGTGAACATGTCCCAGTTCCTCTGAACAGTGATTTATCCTTTTGCTCCATTGTGTGGAGTTGATTTCTTGGAGTCAGACAGCACTGGGAAAGCCACCCTCCTTTCCAGCAAAATGTCACTGCCCTGTGCATGGGGAAACTGAGGCACAGAGAGAGGAAACAGCTGGGACATGCAGGTGACCCTGGGCAGAGACAGCTGAGCGTGCCCCAAACCTGATTTGGATTTCTCTGCTCCTCACTGAGCTGTGCTGCTTCCCTTCCAGCATGGCTGAGAGCAGATCTTGCAGGGAAGGAAACTTCAGGAGGCACAGATGGGAATGAGTTTGTTCTGGGTTAGCAACATGCAGGAGGGAGTGGGAAGAAACTTGACAGATGCTTTAAGAAAGACCATATGAACCCAAACTTCCTTTCTTTTTGGGATGGGCTGTTTAGGATGCAGTTTGATTACAGGATCCATTATGGCAAGTGGGATTTGGGAGGATATTTAGGTCACTCTTTTTTTGTGTATTCAGAGGAACAGAAATCTTTTTCTGTTGAAATGACAGCAACCCCCCAAGCAAGCCAGAAGCGTGTATCACTTCTGAACGGTTATATGGAGGCTAAAGTGTTTTTCCAGTAGCTGTTTTTGTTAAAGTTATGTTTGTAAGTGACAGACAAGATCACACAAATAGAAAATACCACCAGGAAAAAGCAGGAAGTGTGGAATTGTTCCTGAGCTGACTGTGGCAGGAGAGAAACTTGAAGCTGTCAGAGAAGTCCCTGTTTGTTTCCTGCTGCATTCAGGAAAACAGGACTTTGCCCATTCATTGTGAGCAAAACCAAATCCAAGCAGTGTCTGAGAAGCTATGTGCCATCTCCTAAATATAAAATTGAAATATTTGGCACCCTGAAATCCATTTGAACCCTTTTTTGTGCCTCTGTCCCCAGCATCTGTGAGCGGGTCACCCCCCGGCTGTCTCACGCCAACTCAGCAGTGGTGCTGTCAGCAGTGAAGGTCCTGATGAAGTTCCTGGAGCTCCTTCCCAAGGACTCTGACTATTACAACATGCTGCTGAAGAAACTTGCCCCTCCTCTGGTGACCCTGCTGTCTGGAGAGCCTGAAGTTCAGTATGTTGCCCTGAGGAACATCAACTTGATTGTGCAGAAGAGGTAAAAGCTCAGGGGGTTTAATTCCTGTGTTGTCAAAGGCCATCTGGTTATCTCAGATCTCCAGATACTGCCACATGCACAGAATTTCTTTTAATCCAGGCTCAGATCCCTTGAGAGCCAGGTTAAACACTCTCATGACTCTGGCAGCCTGATTTCCTTTACAGCTTGTGATACCAGTTTCATGCAGTATTTCTTTACCTGCTCTCTTCACCTTCTCTTTATGAGCACCCAGAATTGGCCTCTATAAATCAAAATGGCAAACAGGGAACAGTTCACAGTGACCTGCAGGATCTCACTGTGCTTGTGGTACTCTGCTCAGCACAGAAATACCAGGCTGGTGACATCCTGGTGCACAATGGATTGGGATTTTTCCCACCACTTTGCTCCCATGTTCATGTTTTATTGCTGCTGATCCTTGCTGGAAAGGTGAGATAGCTTGGATAGCTCTTTGTGATTATATTAGGGCAGAGTTACTGTGCACTGGCATCTTGAAGTGAAAGTGGAAATGAATTTGTAGGTTTTGCATTAAGATAAGGATGCTGTTCTTTCACTGAAAATATTGTTGTTCACTGCCTGTCGTGGCTGGTTCAGCAGCTCAAACAGAGGAAGCAGAGATGTGGCTGTTGAAAGACTTGAATTATGCATTTTTGTATCTAAATAATCTTTTGGACCAGACTTCTTTCTTTGAATTGGTGTTTGCACATCCTAGGCATAAAATCAGAGTCACAGAATGGTTTGGCTTGAAAGGGACCTTAAAGATCATCCAGTTCCAGCTTCCTCTGCAGGTTTCACATTCCAAATTACTGAGAACCGGGTCTTGAACACTTCCAGGGATGGGGAGTCCATGGCTTCCCTGGTCAACCAGGGCAAAATGGCACCATTCTGTATCTCAGTGGATATTTGGGGAGATTTCTAAGGAAATTATGCCTGTTATTAAAATAATTTGGGTTTTTTACCACTCTTGAGTGACAACATTATGTTCCCTGCAGGCCTGAAATCCTGAAGCAGGAGATCAAAGTGTTCTTTGTGAAGTACAACGACCCCATCTATGTCAAACTGGAGAAACTGGACATCATGATCCGCCTGGCCTCGCAAGCAAACATTGCCCAGGTCAGCTGGGGCATTCCTGCTGTGCTCTGGGAGGGGGAATCCCTGCCCTGCTCCTTGTGTGAGGGTGTTTGCAGCTGCCCCTGGAGTCAGCATCACTTTTAGGCATCACTGTGCCTGGTGGAGTGCTCTGTGAGTTCTCTAATGGTTGGTGGTGGAGTTTCCCCCAGAATTTAAATGTTAATAGCGTGGCGTGGATGCGTCGTGACCGTGAGGTGGATCTTGTTTCACTGATGACAATTCCAGGAGGAGAACTCATGGATCCTGTCAAATGAGTCACTGCCAGTGCTGAGGTTGGAATGAGAGCCTTGTTTCAAGTGAGAGGGGTGTGCCTGTAAGGGAGGCATTCAGAAAGGCCAAACATTATTGAAGTGTGAATTTCAAGTTAGTGAAATTGTTAGAACGCGTGCACAGGCACTCTTCAGAGCTAAAAAAAAATCCTGCTTTTGCTTAACTTGCTTCCAGAATGGGAATAGCACAAAGCTGAAGCTGAACTGAATTGAGATTCACTTTGCAGTGTGGATTCTTCTTGTGTTTGGTGTTGGTTTAATGCAGATCCCTTCCTTGGAGGAAGTGCACCCCTGGCCATGAGGCCTAACACTAATGCAGAATGATTAATGCCTCTGGTCAGTGCTATTATTGTCCTATCCTAATTGTCACAGAACAATTTCATTTCATGTGACATTTTGAAGCAGCTCCTTCAGCTCTCTCCTGATGGTTTTTGGAACTGAGCGAGGTAATTCATGCCCTTTTTGTGCTGGGGGCATGGAAAATATTTTAAAAATCAGTTCCTATGTGAACATATTCAGAATTTTCTCTTTACTGTTGGTAGGCTCCACACACCAATTTGAATTTATAATGTTCCAATAATATGGGCTGTTTGCATGAAAGCCAGTGGTGTCTGGAGGGCAGTCTGAGATCTGCAGACTAATGAATGAATCTCTCCAGCTTCTGAGGAGGCATTCATAAAACAACACAAGCTTTAGCAGGAATGTGTCCTGGAATGAGACCTGGGAGCAGCTTCCACCCACATCTTCCTGTGATTCTTGGGGAGATTCTCCATCCCTGTGCCCATCCTGGACCAGGGCACCAGGATTGTTCCAGCCTTGGGCAGTGTTTGGGAAGCATCAGCTGCTAAAGGCAGGTGCTCCAAGTGCTGTGCACTGTAGATCATCCAAGGAAATAATAAAACTTCAAAACACAGATGTCCTGTCTCCTCCTTGCAGATTTATCTGTCTGCAGTCTGGCCCTTCATGGCCTCTTTATCTTGTCATTCTTCTGAGCAATTTGCTTGGATGAGAGATTTTTCAAAGGACTGTCTGGCTTTGTGCTGCTCCCCTCTCCCTCACCATCTATTTGTGACATCACGATTAAATCCCTGATGTCATGTTTGGCATGAGAAACTGAAATAAATTGAGCTTTTGAGGGAACATAAATTACATATGGTCTTTTCTTGAAAAAGTAAAATAAATTTTTTGTAAGCTAAGTGATTTAAGACAAAGCTTTTTAGTTAAAGGTCTGTAAGATCCCAGCAGATCCTGGGCTTAGCCCTTCATTGGTTTCCATTAGCAAAAACACTGAGACAAAACAATAAATCTTAGTTTTACAAGGGGAAGTATCTTCATGCTGTTACTAATCTGTGTATAGATGTTCCAGGGTGTCCTCAGATCTCCTCTGCATCTTCTGTCTGGATTCACCAGGGATCCAAAGGTTCATCTCAGCACACAGAAATGGTTGTTGCTGAGAGCTTTGCATGCAACAAATATCTTTTCAGTGTAGGAAGACATAGAAACCTGTAAGTTTGGCAGGGGTGATTTTTCCTCAGCTCTTGTTCAGAGGGGTTGAAAATAATCAAGACCAGGCCATCTTTTGACTTTGTGCAGCCAACACCAGGTGTAACCCACCCCAGTTTGCACTGGACACCAGTGTAACCAAACCAGTGGCTGGATGTGTGTGGGAGCTGTGAAAGGACATCCTGCTCATCCTCTGGTGCCCAGGCAGCATCCCCTGTGAGGGTGGGCTGCTCTCTGAGTGCCCCCAGGGGCTGACAGTGCTGTGGTGTCCCCACAGGTCCTGGCAGAGCTGAAGGAATACGCCACCGAGGTGGACGTGGACTTCGTGCGCAAGGCCGTGCGCGCCATCGGCCGCTGTGCCATCAAGGTGGAGGCAAGTATCTCACCCTGGGGCTGCTCTCTGGTTCTCTGTCTTCAGAAACAATGCTGGGCTTTGCCACCTCATTTCCATGCTGCTGGAATTTCAGTGGTGGCCCTCAAGTGGCCTGGATGCATCTGGTTATGGGCAGAGCAGCACTGAGCAGGGTGTGAGCTATAAGGACATCATGGGAGGGTGAGTGCTCCTCTCTGTAGGCAGAGCAAGGCAGGTCATTCATCCTTGATGGAATATTTTACTGTATTTGCTTTAGTGGAACAATGACCATTATCCGTCCAAATCCTTTAATAGCTGTGGCCTGACCTTTTGAAGGGGGAAGAAGAAGATATTGTATAGAGAAATTCAGAATTATGAAACATTTTGTGTCATCCCTCCCCTCCATTTCAGAAGAACAGAACACAGAAAATTGCAGAGATTTGGGGCACTTAAATGCAATTTATACAAACACAGTAACTCTACTTACATAAATCCATCCCTATAACTTGTAAACTTCATTTGGAGTGTGCTCTCTTTTACCTCAATGCTTATGCAAACAAATTCCCAGGAACCTCTGCAGTTTTCCAAAACAAGTCTGAAATGTCCTCTGCCAGTGGAACATCCACCTAAGTGCTCATAATAGAATATTGTTTTTTTTAGTGATGTGTCTGTTAATTTCACTGTAAGTGAATCTGAAAGGCCTGTCAGGAGCTCAGAAATCCTGTGAAGAGGGGGAAGATTTGTGCTGTGGTGTTGGTACTTTTCAGTAAACTGATGACTGAGTGCAAAATGTCACATAAAGTGCTCTAATTTCAGCTGAGCTCATTTAGCTTTTGCTCAAGCGTGTTCCCATGAGCATTGCCTGACAGCAGATTTAAATAATAACCTAATCATGCCTGGCTTAGTGTGGTGCCAGTGCACAGGATTCTCTTGTTTCAGCTAAACTGCTGCAAGCCTGTGCACAGAGGACACCAACTTCTGTCCTCTGGGGAGAATCAGCTGCCCCTTTGTGCAGCTCTCTCCTCCTTCCTTCATCTCTCAAAGGTTTGTCACTGCCAGGGGCTTGCTTTGAAGCATGGCCCCATGGAGCAGGGGCTGCTGCTTCTGTTTTATGTCTGCACTTCAGAATACCAGAGGACTCTCTCCATGCTGCATCCAGGCAGGAGCCACAGCAGTGACTGTAGAAAAACCCCCTGAGCATGGAAAAGGGCTACAGAGAAGTTTGAAAGGAGCTGGTGACAGTGCTTTTTGTAGCTGTGCTGTGCTGGCAGGGTGGGAATTTGTTTTAGTTCTCAGCAGGGACTTTCTCACTAGGATTTGGCCCTGTGCCTGTCCTAGTTGCAGGGAGGGTGGTGTATTCCTGCAGCATCAAGGTGGTTTTAGATGTTTTTACTCTTTCCTGCCCTCATCCCCCACATTTTTTCCCATCCCTGATACCACAACAGTCATATTTGATAAGCAAAGGACTAGTAATAATGCCCCAGTGACCCTATAATTGTAATTGTGCCTCTCCATTGGCCATTTTAACCTTGATTTTTGGCACTGCTGCTGCAAAGGGTGAGGTCTGTTTCCTGCTCTGACAAGAACCAGATTTAAGGAGATACATAGAACAACTCATGACAGTTTTTCCTCATCCCTAGGTTAATCCCTGTCCCCAGTGCATCTGTGTTTACTAGAGGCTGTTTACACTGTGAATTATGACTAATGGCAGAGCATCCTCACAGCCATCAGTGTCCAAGTTCCCAAAGCTCAGAAATCTGATTTTTGACAGAGGACACAGCCAGTGGGAGCTGTTGATGAATAAGGATTCACAGAGCACCTCAGTTCTGCCTTTAGGGATCCTATCTTTTGTCTAATTGTCACTCCTAGGAGAGTGAGACAGAAATAAATGTGTCTGCTGAGAGGTGCACCATAAAGCAAATGTGGTGTTCCCTTTGCTCCTGGTGCTGATTTGGGTTATGGAACCAACACCCACAATGAATAACAAGATTTTGCCCAGGTTTGAGCAGTCATATTGTTTTGGGGGATATCAAAACATTTTGCATGGATATTGCTGGATTATTGCTAGCTGAGCTCAGAGTTAGCTTGGGTTTATCTACAGCAAACTCTGGTGTAGCTACACTTGTCTGCCTTGTGAATTGGTTTGCTCCAGTGGCAACATCACGAGAAACCATCATTCCATGCTTTGGTTTTTAGGAAAACAAGCACCACTCCCGTGGGAAAAGGAAATGAAGTGGATGCAGTAAAGATAGGGGTTCCTCTGGAGCAAAGGAGAAGCAGAAGGAGCCATCTTACAGGGATATTTGTCTCGTTTCCAAGAGATTCTGCCAGCAGCCTGGTTCTTAGAAATCATTGAGGCTTGTGGCTGAGTGTGATATGTGCTACTTCAATAATCTTGTGGGCTTTCATTTGGTTCCTGCAGAAAAACAAAGCAATTTTGACATTGGTTGCTTGTCCTTCCTCACTCCAACTTGAAAGCTGTTTGAGTTGGGGCATCCTTTCATCAGTTTGCAGAGCTCTGCTGTCCCCAAGGATGTCCACCTTCAAAAAGCAGTGTGTTTACAAGGGATAGGGTGAGCTGAGATGGTTTTTGTTAGAGGGACTGCTCTTCTGGGCATGTGCCCACCACTGCTCACTTTCCAAGGGACTCTTTGGCTAAAAATCATTGCTGTGTGTTTCAAAGTGGATGTTGTGCTTTTCCTGGAAAAAAAAAAAATCATGCTTCAAAGCATCTAAAGAAAAGAAAACTGAACTTTAATTTGCTTTTCCTTGAATTGTACAGCTCTTAAAGCTCTGTTAGTTGTAGGCTCTGACAGGACTGCAGTGCTTGCTGCCAGCAGTGACTGATGCTGGAGATTCTGCTGTAGAAACATCCAGGATTGGTCAATCAAAGATCCACCTGTTGCATTCCACAGCAGCAGATAACCATTGTTTACATTTTGTTCCTGAGGCCTCTCAGCTTCTCAGGAAGAAAAAAATCTTAAGGAAAGGATTTTTTATAAAACTTATCTGTGACCATCCTGGCTATGGAGTGTCCAAGTTCCCGGGTCAGAAGACACAGGAAATAACAAAGTTCCTGTGTGAGGAGAAGCTGGGCTGTTTTTTGAGAAGACATTAATTATAAGTGCTGTTGACATGAATTTTGGTAGAACAGCAGAAGCTTTGGATGACTGGAGCAAGGAGGACTAGAGTGAGAGCAGGCATCTTTCAGAAGAAGATGTGTAGATGGATGTGGCACAGATTTACCCCATCAGGTCACTTGGTAAAATATCAGATGGAAGTTACTGAGATGAAGAGGTGAAATGTGAAGCTCTGAAGCATCTCTCTTGCAAGGACTTTGGGCAGGGCTCCCACTGTGAGCCAGGTCAGTGTGTGGAGCCAGGTCTATGGTCAGTCCCCATGAACTGGAAGTGTCTTCCAGGTCACAAATCCCTTCTGGAGCAGAAGGATCAGAGCAGGACATGGTCAGGTTGCCATTCAGCGCCCCTGTAGTGCCACAGTACCCATAAAGCTGAGCTAAGCAGGGAGAGGTATCATAAAAGAATATTACAGCAATCACCCATTTTTATGTGATGCCTCTCTGACACCAATTGTATTGGATTTTTCTTCTGTTTGCTGTGAATTTCAAGGGAGAGTTTTATGACTTACTGCCAGTTTGCAAAGGCAGGGCAAGTGCTGGTTTGTGTTGATCCTGCCTTGGCTGATCCTCATGCCAGCCTGTTTGTGCTGACAGCCCTGTGTGAGGTACCCAGGAGGGCAGGAAGCTGCCAGAAGGTTTTAGTCTCTGACCCAAATTCCTGAGGCTTGTCCTTGAGATTTTTGCCCATTCTCAAAGAGCTGATTGCTGTGACTAAAATGCCATTTCACTCCTCCTCCTCCTGCCCAGCCTTTAAGTGCTCTGTAAGTTGAGGGAGCTGTTAACTCACTGGAATTGAAAAATCCACCTACATTGCTGTTGTTTGTGCCCCACAGTGTTTGTCTCCAGCCTGAATCCTTTATGAGTGTTCTGAAGGCAGTGTTGGGAGCAGTCTGCTTCTCACATTAATCACCAGCTGTGTAATGAGGCTTCATGTGTGCTCTGCTAATAACCAAATCACTGCCCTTATTTGAGGCTCTGCTGCTGGAGTTGGTTGCTCCTGTGATGTCCTGTCTCACTGTGCTGTTTGGGAATAGACCTCCCTGAATTATCTGCCTCTATCTCCACTCCTGGTTCCTGGAGCATGGCAGTGTCCAGGCCTTGTTATCTTGCAGTGCCTGTGAATTGAGCTAATTAATTGAAAGCTGCATTAGGAGTAGCTGAATTTCTATTTTTAGCTGTGCATTTTACATGTTGTTAGTGACCTCACCCCAAAAATACTGAACCTGTTGCTGCTGGTTTTGACAGCACTGTTTTCTCTGCCTTCTGGCTTTGCTAGAAACTTTCTTGCAGTCCCTGTCAGAACTTTCCTAGCTCTGATTGCCTGGCATGGGAATCAGAGAGCTCATTCAGTGGCCTGTACCAGCCCCAGGGTGGTACAAAGAGCAGTGCAGGTGATGTTCCCAAGCTCTCTTGTGTGGTGATCCAACTTTCTGCTGGCATAATTACTTCTCTTGCTTTCTAGAGGAGCAGGAGCCAGCTGGTGTCCCCACTGTAACAACCTTTTGTTTCCCTGTAGTTCATTTCTGGGCAGAGTTTGCAGCTCTTGTCCTCTGTGCTTTTCCTTATACACACACCACATTCCTCAGTGAGTGCTGTGGGAGCTGGAGTGTTTCTTCAGCTATTTAAATTGGGTTTTTCTGCTGTCTCCAGCAATCTGCAGAGCGCTGTGTGAGCACCCTGCTGGACCTCATCCAGACCAAGGTGAACTACGTGGTGCAGGAGGCCATCGTGGTCATCAGGGACATCTTCCGCAAGTACCCCAACAAGTAGGTGGAAACTTCAGGTTTTTTTGGAAATACTTGGCTGCCCTCATCAGAATAGAGCAGCTCTCAGCTCAGCAGGGCTCTGAAGCAAAGGTGGAAACAGTGATCCCACTGCTGGTTTGGTAGGAGGCTCGAGGTGAGATGTCAGCCTGGCTTGTTGTTAGTTTGAATTGAAAAGTTTTCCTTCCCCACCACTCCATATTGAAGGCTGGATCAAAAGCCAGTAAAGCTCTTGCAGGGAATGGCAGAAGGAAAATTTGGCCAGGTTTACAGCATCAGGGTGTCCTGGTTTTAATCTCCTCTAGAAATCCATGAAGTGTACAAATGTCCTTGTCACAGTGGTCACAAGGGTTGCAGGATGAAGAGAGAGATGAGAATGTTGACCTCATGTTCAGAAGGCTTGATTTATTATTTTATGATATATATTACATTATGACTATACTAAAAAGAATAGAAAGAAAAGTTCTCAGAAAGCTAGCTAAGCTAAGAATAGAAAAAGAATGAATAACAAAGGTGTGTGTCTCAGCAGAGAGTGAGACCCAGCTCTGCCCTGAGTGGTCAGTAAATCCAAACATCCACCCGAGACCAATCACGGATCCACTTGATGCATTCCACAGCAGCAGATAATCATTGTTTACATTTTGTTGCTGAGGCCACAGCTTCTCAGAAAAGGAAAAAATCCTAAAGAAAAGATTTTAATGAAAAGATGTCAGTGACATGTCCTCACAGGGCTGTCAAAGTTCATGGCTCCCATGGTCCCAGACCAGTCAGGTTGTGCTGAACAAACATTTCTGACTTTTCCCACCAAGTGTTCCCTCTGGCTTGGGCAGAACTCAGCTTCTCTTGGTTCTGCAGAGAGATTTTGTCTCCTCAGCCACAGAACTGCAGCAATGCTTTTTCAGCAGAGACTTCACGATCACCTAAAAAATTATATAGGACATCTGCAGGTTTCCCTGACAATTTCTGCTGTCAGCCTCCAAAATTCCCTGCTTGTGGGGATACCCAGATATGGGAATAGGGGAAGCTAAATTAGTGTGGGATATTGTCTGATTTACAATAAAGCCTTGGGTGGATGCAATATCCAGTTTAGAGTTGCCAGGCTGGAGCCTCCAGCAAGGCTGCAGGATCTGATTCAGACTCATGGTTTGAACTGTTGGATCAAATGTTCCCATTAGCAAACAGAACAGAAGGCAGCTTTATCTTGAACTCCACGTCTGGGTGGTCTTGCTGATGGATTAAACTGCAGAGATCCTGTGAGATCTTTGGAGGGAAAAAAAAAGATGAATGAAAATGCTGCTTGTTGTGTAGAAACACAAGACATTACTTCAGTTCAGAACTCTCTGCAGAATGATGTGGGCAGAAATGGAGTGAAACAAGTCCAGTTCACCCAGTAATGCATCTGTACTGTGACAAACCAGGTATGAGAGCATCATTGCCACTCTGTGTGAGAACCTGGATTCCCTGGATGAGCCAGATGCCAGAGCTGCCATGATCTGGATTGTGGGTGAATATGCTGAAAGAATTGACAATGCAGATGAGCTGCTGGAGAGTTTCCTGGAGGGTTTCCATGATGAAAGCACTCAGGTAAAGTTGCAATGTGCATTTTATCTGCAGTGTGTTTATGGGATGGACAGTAAATGTTATTGCAGTGGGCAGACAATACCTGTCAATAAAAGCTTCAATACTGGACTAAAATAAAACTCCTGGGAATCTGCAGTTTTGCTTTGTTGTCCATGTCTCCAAAAATTCCCATCTTGGAAGCACAAGAGGGGGTTCCAGAGGTTGCATTTTTCTTGGGGGGATGGCTGTGCTGGGGATATTACACAAACCTCAGCCTGCTGCTCAGGGACTTCTCTGTGAAAGTATTTTGCAACAGGCAAGGTTTTGAATCTCATTATACTGGGTTTCACTGGCATAGAGCAGTGTCATGCTGTGAGTAAACTGAAGCCATGTTTAATATCAGTAAAGGAATTTCTAATCTCTCCTGTGCCCTTTCTCTTAGGTGCAGCTCACTCTGCTGACTGCAATAGTGAAGCTGTTCTTGAAAAAGCCTTCTGAGACACAGGAGCTGGTCCAGCAGGTGCTCAGCCTGGCCACACAGGTAAGCCAAGGTACCCAGGGCCCTGCAGACACTCTGCTGGGTGCAGAGTGATGTGATGTCTCCCAGCTGCCAGGCCAGGCAGCTTTGCAAGAAATCCCCCCAAGAAATATTCAACCTCTAGATCAGATTCAAGGGTGTTCCCTTCTCTCCCAAAGAGACTCTATTTAAAAGCTGCTCTGTGCCTGTTCCCATCTGCAGTCTGCTTTCTTCTCCTTAGCTCTTGCTTTATCTGAATTCCTTCCCCATTCACTCACTAAATGGAAAGTTAGGGATAGTGTAGAATTATCAAGAAACTAAAATTCTTTCTCCTTGAAGGTGGCTTGCAGTTGAACATCTGGAGCTATAACAGAGGCAAAGAGCCTGGCAAAGACTTTGTTCTGAGAAGAGCAAACTTTAAGCAGTGCTATGAAAAAGAAAGAACTGATTTTTGGGGTTTTTGCCTTTGTACTTGGATGCTGTCAGCCAATGTGGCAGCTTTGCTGGAGGCTGTAGCAGTGGGTTAAGATCATGGATTCATTATGCATGAGATGCTGAGTTATGAGCTCAGATCACTGCAGGCAAGGCTGGGCTTGAGCTGGCAGACACAACTGCTGTAGTTCCAGAGGACAGAGGTGATGTCCTGGTGCCAGGGGTGGGTAAGAGCTCAGCTGATCTTCCTGCACTCCTTGGCTGCAATGATTGGGATAAAGTGCCCAAAAAAACCAGCTCCTCTCCAGACCTGCTGTGTCAAGTGATAAAAATAGTCTGCCAGCTGAATGGGCTGTGATTGTTTCTGAGCAGAAAACCTGGAGTCAATCATCAGCTGCCCTTTTTGATCCTCTTTGCTGCAAGAAATCATTGCTGTGGATTTGCTGCACTTAAAACTTTTATTCATTCCTTTGGGGAGTTGCATTGGTCAGCAGCAACAAACCCATGACCTGATTCTCTTGCTTCAAAACCTGCTGTTAGGCAGGATCTGAGCTGCTCTTCAGAGAGGAGTGGGCCAAGGGCATGCTGTATCATTTTCCTGAGCCAACAGAAGAAAGGTACCAAGTGCAAAAACCCACTGTGCTGACTCACAAAACATTTAATGGCACCCTCAGAATGTAACAGGCGTCTGGGTTTGTTTCTCTGTTTGTCACCAATGTTGATTCAGTCTGGCTTTTTGTATTTTATATGAATAATAAGTCAATGTAGGATAACTGGCTGTAAAACATTGAAAAACCTTGTGCTTCAAGGTCTGATTTCTAGGTAGAGATGGTGTTTTTCACTTGAGTGGGAGAGTAATTACATGTGTGTTTCTTTCCCCAGCTTAGGTATTGTTGCACTTTGAGTGTCTCAGGGCTTGTCTGCACAGCAGACTGCAGGTGTGACTGTAGCAGGAGCCAGCTCTGGTAAAAATAGCAGTGGAGCAGCTGGGGCTGGCAGAAACACAGGAATTGAGGTCTCAGACCTCTGCATCCCCATTGCTGATGCATGGGTGGGGAGCTGAGCTAGCCTGGGTTCATTGTGTTGCTCCACAGGTGTGCATGCAAACCCTGGAGAGAGGAGAATTTTGAGAGATTTGAGCCTCTTTTTGCAGTAGGTTTACCAGTTTCCAATGTGTTTTTTTGGCTGTGAGAAGAAACAGTCAGCCTTGACTCTGTAGGTGCCTGCAAGTAGGAGAGTGTAGCCTTTCATGTGTGCCCTTGCAGAAACCCTGCCTGATCCTGAGTGCACAGTCTGGGAGGAATTGTTAAAGTGTAAAGAGTCCACAATTCTACCATCAAACACAACCAGCTCTGCAGAGATAATGTGTGAGACAACAGAGAGATTAATTTAGGTCCTTACAAGCAAAATGAGCTGAGCGCAATCTCATTGCAAGAAGAGGTTTGAGAATGTCTTGAGGCAGATGGCAGATGCAGATTCTAGCAGGGCAGCAATGAGAGCACAGAAGAGAAAAAGAAATGCCAAGGAAAGACTAGTGAGGTGTACAATATTTTGCTGGAATTTTATCAGGGGAAAAAACCTCTGAAGATTAAAAACCTGAGCTCTTGTTTCCATGAACAGTTCACTACAACATAAAACCACAGCACCTCCCTCTCTCTAGAACATGATCAGCAAACCATCCCCACTCACTTTGCTGCTCTGGGCAGAGCTGCTCAAAGAGGAGAGAAATAATTAGCACTTCATGCAGAGGCAAAAGTATCTGCAATAAAACAAGGGTATTATTGACAGCTGGAGAACTGATGAAGTACCCTAAGTGTGCATCATTAGCATCTCTCCATACTTCATTAGATAACTAAAAGGCAGGATAAATTAAGATCTCTTTTGCTATAAAGAATATGGCTTATTAAGATGTGGTTCTGCAGCATCTTTTTTGTCCAGCAGTGCCTTGGGTAAGTCATATTTCCAGGAATCTTGGATCATTATGCATTGTTGAGTGTCTGCTCTTCGTGTGCACCAGTCATTGTCACTCTTTTCTGTGGATTTCTCCTAATACTTAGTGGGAGGAAAGTTTAGAAGGAGTTGGCAGCTCTGTGGTTTGGGGCAGTTGTGGGGTGTAAGTCCTGGAAATTTTGTGTAAATTTCTCCTCCCTGACCAGCTGAGCAGGAAGCCAGGCATTAATACTTTGGTTCTCGTTTTTAGTTTTAAGATGTTCATCTCAACAAGCAGTTTGTAACATCATTTTGAAATTGGTGGCTGTGGCTGCTGGCTGGTTGGGGGTTTTTAATCCAGAAGAATGAAGTGATTACAGGCATGAGTTGATTTGAGACCTGTGAGTGATGCATTGCTCTGTCCCAGGATTCTGACAACCCAGACCTGCGGGATCGTGGCTACATCTACTGGCGCCTTCTTTCCACGGATCCAGTGACTGCCAAGGAAGTGGTGCTCTCAGAAAAGCCCCTGATTTCTGAGGAGACTGATCTCATTGAGCCAACCCTGCTGGATGAGCTGATCTGCCACATTGGGTCTCTGGCTTCTGTGTACCACAAGCCACCCAACGCTTTCGTGGAGGGCAGCCATGGCATCCACCGCAAGCACCTGCCCATCCACCATGGCAGGTGAGCTCTGGCAGCCTGGGGATCATGGGTTGGTGGTTTCTTTCTAGCAAACAGTCCAAAAGATGCCAAGATCTTTTAGAAGATCCTGGAGGGATTTTGTTGATAGTTTGCAGGTCGTTCAAGGGGCTATTTCATTGCAGAATGGAATCCTGTGTGAGGTGTTCACAGGAGTCTTATGTTGAGGGAAGAGACGAGGATCTGACTCCATGTTTCAGGGGGCTTGATTTATTATTTTATGATATATATTACATTAAAACCATACTAAAAGAATACAAGAAAAGAATCTCATCAGAAGGCTGGGTAAGCTAAGAATAGAAAGGAATGAGTAACAAAGGTTTGTGGCTCAGACAGAGCTGAGCTAGCTGGGCTGTGATTGGCCATTAATTAGAAACATCCAGGATGGGTCAATCAATCAATCAGGGATCCACCTGTTACATTCCACAGCAGCAGATAATCATTGTTTACATTTTGTTGCTGAGGCCTTTCAGCTTCTCAGGAAGAAAAAATCTTAAGGAAAGGATTTTTTATAAAAGTTGTCTGCGACCATCCTGGCTATGAGTGTCCAAGTTCCTGGGTTAGAAGACACAGGAAATAACAAAGTTCCTGTGTGAGGAGAAGCTGGGCTGTTTTTTGAGAAGACATTAATTATAAGTGCTGTTGACATGAATTTTGGTAGAACAGCAGAAGCTTTGGATGACTGGAGCAAGGAGGACTAGAGTGAGAGCAGGCATCTTTCAGAAGAAGGTTTTGTAGGAGCTTTGCTTCAGCAACAACTCAGCTTTATGAGCCTCTCTCCTGGAATGCAGCATCACTTTCCTGGAACAGGAATTACAGGGATCTTTCACTGCTGCAACATGAAATGGAGCAGGATTGGTAAAACTCCCTTTCTCACTTGGAGCCTGTAAAGCAAGGGAAGTGCAAAAGCCATCTAAGCCTGTTAGGGCTCAAAAAAAGATGAGTAGACTGACATGGTCTGTCTGACCTTTGTGAGGTGGGGAAATGCTTTGGCTCCCTGCCTGGTGCTTCAGTGCCTCCCTGGATCACAGTTGTGGCAGCAGGTTCGTTCTGCAAGAGCAGGCAGTGCCTCAGTCCCTCAGTCCCATGGTGCTGCTGGGCCTGTTCCCATGGTCCCTCATTCAGGTGAACAGTTTGCTACTTCCACTAATGATATTAATTACAAAAATGAATGTATTTTGCAGCAAGAGGCAGGCTAGCCAGGCTTACCTCTTAATAATATTCCCAAAGTGACATTTGGAGTGCTATTTTTGCTGTTGCACTGATAAATCAGTGTGCGATGCTGCTTCTTTTCTATTTTCTGACACCACTTCTCTGCTATTCTTAGCAACTCAAGCTATTTCTGTGGTGGCTGGCTTTGGGAAGCTGAGTTGTTTTCTCCCTGCCTGAAATCAAGTCTGGCTGCACTGACCTAGAATCAGCAAGTACAAATGTACCAGTTGGGCAGGAAAAGCAGTGGCCACTTTCCTACCTCTCCTAATCAAAGATTTGTCCCAAAATGAGCTGGTTTTTGGTGTTAACAGCCTTCCTGTTCCATTTCACTACAACAAATACCATTTTAGGGGATTTAACTCAGAGAATTCAGCTTTTTGAAGGAGCAATTTATCATCTTCTTGCATGTCATGCCTCTGTGCTGGACTCTCATTGCTCATGCTCAGTCTGCTGACCTTAAGCATTTTCTGATTTTGGCAAAACCATTGCTTAAAAAAACCTTAAAAAACAAACCCCCAGGCCTCAGTCAGCAGTGCAAGCTGGGGGAAGGTCTGAGGGATGCTCAGCAGAGCGTGCTGATCATGCTGATGCAGTGATAAATTTAAAAATGAGTGGGGTTAGTTAATGGCTCACCAGGCTTCTCTGGTGGGAGCTCACCTCAGGAGGCCCCAATATTGGGGTTTTCTGCATCAGTTTAAGGCAAGTTAAGGGTGCTCAGTGAAAGATAATTCCAAACAGCGAGTGAGGTGTTTTTCTGCATTTCAGTGGCCATTCTGGTGGCTGATCCTTGTGTAGAGACTGATGGGAATGGGCAGATTTCCACAGTAAATATGGTTTAAGAGGGTCAAGACAGCACTGCCTTGAGTGGTGCTTCCCTGGGTATGAATCCAGGAGGAGTTTTGGTTGGCAGACCAGCCTGCATGGCATTTTCATTCATTCATTTTCCATTCAGAGCCCTGTAGGGCAGGTTTCTTGCAGCTCCCAGCTGATGGGAAGACCTATTGAACAGCTCACAGATGGTGAAATGTTCCTGCCTCTCCAGCCAGCCCAAGTGTCACAGAGCTGCAGATGCATCCTGAGGGTGGGGAGCAATCTGATGGCTTGGCAGTGTTTCCTCCTGTGGTGGCTCCCACCACCCCTGCTCAGCCATAATCCAGCTGGGAAATTTGGGAACATGTTCACAGTGCTCCTGGGAGAAGCAAATCTGATTACACTTGGGCAGGAGTCTCTATTTCCCTGTCTCACAGGTGGCTGCAGAAAAATTTTGATTGTGGTTCAGGCTGTGCATCCCTTGTGACTCCAATTTTTGATTCTTGTTCAGGCTGTGCTTCCCTTGTGACTGCAACATCTGGGAATGGCTGGAGGCAGAACTCACAGGGCCAAATCTCCAATTCCCATGGCCAAACCCAAAACTTTAAAGGGGAAAGCTTGTATCAAGTCTTTTTGACCTTCTTAACCCACATATTCTTGCCCTTTTTAACCCACATGAATTTCTTTTCTTGCCCTTTTTAACCCACATGAATTTCTTTTCTTNCCCTTTTTAACCCACATGAATTTCTTTTCTTGCCCTTTTTAACCCACATGAATTTCTTTACTTTCTAAGAAAATGCAAAGTTGTTTATAGGAATCTCTTCAAAGAGATTCTTTACAAATGGAAGTCTGGGGTGTTGCTTTTTCAAACAAACCAACTGAGCTTTGTCCTTTCCTCATTTCTTGTTGGGCTTTGGGGCAGCAGCAGTTACACAAGACACGGAGGGATTTCTGTGTCTCCATCAGGAGAAGGATGAGTAAGTGTTGAAGGGGTGGAGTGTGTGAGGGATGATATCCTGGGAAGGAGCAGAGTGGTTTGTGCTGTGCCTCTCCCAGAGAGGCTGTTCCTGTTCCCAGCCTGGGGGTGGGAGTGGATGGATCACAGTCACCTCCTCTCCTCAGGAATGCTTCAGCGAGCACTTCAGCTCACTCAGCACTCTGAAGGCAGCAGCAGAAAGGACAGCTAATATTAGTGCTATTGGGGCTCCAAAGCTTTTAATGCAAAGAAGCTTTCAAGCCTTCCTGCTGCTGCCTGGTAACTAATTCACCCTGCACTCCTTATGCTCCATCTTTTCCTCCTGGCACTGGCATTGGGAGCAGCTTATGCTCTGTCACTGAATCTTTCCCCTCAGCAGCTGAATGAGGATAAGAGAATTTTGGCTACTCACAATCAGAAGCTGCAGTGCTTGCAGAACAGCCCCAGAGTTAAACACCTTGTCAGGACACTAATTCCCACAGCAATTGTGGGCATTTACTGCTGGCTGCAGTAACATGAGCTAAAAATCATTTTATCAGCTCCTGCTGGAAGCAGGATATAAAATTTTAATTATCTAAAATATGAGCATCTCTGGATTTAGGGAATAAATACATTGTAGTGAGTTCTCCACTTATTTTTTACTTTCTCCTTGTTATCAAATTCAGTGACAAGTGGATATAAAAGATATAAAAGGTAGCCAGACTGCATATGATGATAAATTTTGGGAGCTGTATAATGAGTGTTTCTAGACTAGTAATTAGCATGCCTGCTAACTCAGAGGAAAGGAAATTATTGATAGAAGGGAGGAATCAATTTTAGATTGAGTTTTTCAATTAGGAAAGACTGATGGACCTTGCTGCTGGTCAGGAGAAGGTGATTAATCTAGATCTGAGGGAAATGCTGGCGTTTGCACTGGTTAGAGTAAGGGCTCAAGGGTTTTATCAGTGTTAGATCTCTGAGAAAATCCAGATTATTTATTTTTCCCTGTGTTTTCATGTCACTCTCAGACCCAATGGGCTGTAAATCATCCCTGTATGTTTATTCTGAGGTAGGAAATGCTTATTTTCAGTTCTGCAGCCCATGTGGTATCCATGGCTCTCTGTTTTGGAGGGGGTCTCTGATTCTCAGGGTGGATGGGATTCACCCCTTGCAAGATTCCCTTTGCTGGGCTGAAAACCACATCCTGAAAACCAGTGCAGGGAAAATCTTTGTGCTCAAAGTGCTGAAGAGCCAAGTGCCTGGTGCAGGACAGTGGCCACAGCAGCTGCTGGCACCACCTTTTCCCTGGATTCTGCTGCTGAGCCACCTCTAGCTGTGTTTCCCCATGCTGGAACCTGACCTGGAGACCAGAGCTGACTGATATTTGTCTTTTCTTCTTCTTGTTCTCCCCCCACAGCACTGATGCTGGTGACAGCCCCGTGGGCACCACCACCACCACCAACCTGGAGCAGCCACAGGTCATCCCATCCCAGGGTGACCTCCTGGGGGACCTCCTCAACCTGGACCTGGGCCCCCCTGTGAACGTGCCCCAAGTGACCAACATGCAGATGGGTGCTGTGGACCTCCTGGGAGGAGGGCTGGACAGCTTGGTAAGCAGCACATCCTCTGTAGCTGATGGGACATAACTGGAGCTGTGCTTATCTCTGCAAAGCCTTGATCATTTGTGCTTTTAATGCTCAGTGAGCCAAACTCTCAGTGCTGAGTCCTGGAACTCCAGGAGGATTTAACCAGAGTTATTGTACCAACTTTCAGCAGGCTTTTTCCTGCTCTACAGTGAATGTTGCTGCATGCTGTAGAATCCCCATGGTCAGTGGATATATTTGTTCTGTGCTTTTTCTGTCTGTAGAAGAAAACCAGAAAGTTGCTTTAAGGATGTGAAAGTGTTTCACTGCTTTCTATTTGAATCAGGCTCCCTTTCAAGAAGCCATTTATTCCACCCAATTACCAACCCTCCTGAATTTCAGTGCTGAATCTCTCAGGCTGTAACCCTGTGTCCTCTCATTTGTGTATTCTCCAGAGCACGCCCTGGTTTAACATCAGTGACATTTTAATTGCAGTGAGGTCAAGAGGGAGCTCTCTGAGCACTCCTCCCTGTGCCAGAGCTGCTCACCAGGCACCTGCCAGGGTCAGGCTGCAGTGGGAGCAATCACAACTCCCCTCTGCTCTGGGGAGGGAGCTGGGCATGATCTGCAGGGAGAAAATCACAGAGCAGGGCAGAGCTCAGAGCTGTGCTTTGAGGCAGTGAGGAGTGCTGGCTCTAAGGGTCACAGCACGTGCCCAGCTCCCTGCTGGCTTCCCACAGGGGGAAGAAGCTCTCCTAGGTGTATTTGCACTATGTAAATCAAGTAAGACTGCCCCAAGGGCATAGTTGGGTGTTTCTCAGACTTGGAGTGGGTTTGTGTTGCTTGAGGTTTGGTTTGTGATGGGTTGGGCTGGGTTATCTCTGCCTGAGTCAAGCTCTGAATAACAGAGGTAGGAGGCAGCTGGATGAACCAATCCTCCAATTCAACAAATCCTTATTAGTCAAATACATATTTTTTTTAAACCACCATAAGCTTACTAAAGCAAATGTTAAACAACATTTCCAGCTCCAGTGCTTCATGGCCTAACGAGCTGGAAACAATTTAACCCTTAATGGCACTGGCCCTCCCAGAGGGCAGAGGTGCTGTGGGCTCTGCACTCTCTAACCACAGGTCCTTGGCTGCAGGGACACTGCTCTTAGTGGGGATTAGCACAGTGGTCAAGCTGGGAGAGCAGGCAGAGAGAGCAGTGAGCTCTGCAGCCTTTCCCTGCCCTGCCTCTCACAGCCTGGCACTGGCAGATCAGGAATGAAGGCATTGCAGAAGGTGCTGCTGCCTGGGCATCACAGCATGGTCTGTACATCAATCCCTCCCTGCTGCCTTGCAGGCCTCTCACAGTAACCCTTTGTTCCTCATTAGTGTCACACAAATAAATGGACACAGCAGAAGTAAAACTTGGTTTTGGGAGAAGAGCTGTCTCCCAGCTGGCATTAATGGGCTTAATTTAGTGACCTGCTCTGGCAGTGGAGCTGTTAGTTGAAATGGTAGCAGGCTTTTACTTAATATTTTTCTCAAGCCTTAAGCACATCCATGGGGTTATGGAGTGTGATCTGACAAAATGATCCTGTCTGGATGGGGAGTAGCAGTGCCTGGGGCATGGCCAGTGCTCTCTCAGCTGAGTAGATGGGGAAGCATTAAAAAAAGTCTGAATTTTGGTGTGGTTTTTGAAGATGGATGCTTTCTATTGGAGGTCTGTTCTGTCAAAGCTCCAGCTTTTCCTCCCTTTGGTCAGTCTCTTTTCTCAGGTAACAAGTGACAGGATGAGAGGGAATGGCCTCTACTTGTGCCAAGGGAGGTTTAAATTGAATATTGGAAAACCTGTCTTCACCTAAAGGGTTTTCAAGCCCTGGAATGGGCACTAGGGCAGTGCTGGGATCTCTTAAAAACCGTGTAGATGTGGCACTTGGGGACATGGTTCAGTGGTGGCCTTGGCAGTGCTGGTGGAATGCTGTGGAGGTCTTTTGTAACCTAAATGAGCCTAGGATAATAAGCTTAATTAGTGAGTGAATGTGAGCTGTGTGTTTGTTTGTTGCTGTGGGCATGTGTTTAACAAGTCTCAAGCTGGGTTAACCCCAACCTGGTATTACCCAAATTGCTGGGAAGTGCCCTGGGCTGCAGGGCTTGCCAAGAGGATTGGCATTTGGATCTCAGGCTGATATTAAACCACATTTGTGCCATGCCAAAATCAGTCTGAAACTGCAGATCCCACAGGCCTGATTTCTGTGGGTGGGAAGGAGGTGGGACACATCCCAGTGTGCTCCTTGGAGAAGGGCTGAGATCTTCACCTTTATCCAGGGATCAAAAACACCTGGGGGGGGGCACCAATACCTGAATTGTTCTGCTTTGAAATTTCCCTAAGTTTTTTTTTTTTTTTTCATGCATTTCTTGCCCTGCTTTGTTGGGCAGACTGGCACACACTGGGATGGTGACATTGCCCCAGTCCTGTGAGTGCCCCAGAGGCAGCTGCAGGTCTGCAAGAGGCTGCTGGCAGGATCTCAGCCACTTTGTCACACCCACTCAGTGTCATCTGCTGGGCCCCTCTTCTGCCCCCTTGTCTCATCAGAGGGATGTTCTTGTAGTGAAAGTCCCAATGGGACTGACCCAGAATGACCAAGAGCAGCTTTAACTTAGCAAAATGCCATTCTATTTCCATTCCTTAAACTGTGGGCTTTTATTTTTCTTCCAGGCATTTAAATATAGACTGAATGGTGGAAAACTGCACAAACACCAAATTAATATTGTTCATTTGAATTGTCCTCAGCACTGCCAGATATTTATGCCCATGACTAGTGAGACTCCAGCTGCTTGCAAGGTTAATTTCTTTAGTGAGTAAATCTTATTTTATCTCCACAGTGAGTTCTGTAATTGGCATTAAATGTAACATGCATGCACAGATGCTGAGCATGTGTTAACAATTAAAAAGAGGAGAAAAAGGGCCTTTGGTACCAGAGAATTGCTTATAAGCAGAGCAGACTTGCTGTAGGATTTCTGGAGAGCTTTTTCTAGGGAACAGGTTTGCCACCATGGGCAGATCTTGTTCTTCTCTGCTCAATTTTCTTTTTCTATAAAATGGTGACTAACCCCACTTTACAAAACTGCTTGGGATCTCCAGCTCCACAGTGTAAAGTAGCCATAGCAGAGTCACTAATGGGGGAGAAATAAAACGTGTGGGAGAGCAGATTGCTGGGTGCAGAGCTGCTCATCCCAAGAGCTGGAGTTTGATGCTTTTTTCCCCCTCAAGTGTCTGAATTTCATGCAGGTTACAGTCACTAACCCAACTCCTGTGCAGTGGTGCAGTGCTTTGCAGGATGTCTGTCTGTGCTGACATGACATTTTTACCTTTAAACCTTTTTTGTGTGTTCATTTACTGTGCAAATCCACAGAGCCTGAGAGCTCTGTGTTGCACATTGTGCTTCCTGGGAGCAGGGCACTGTGGCCAGGAGCCAGAAAGGCTGGCTTGAAACCCCAGGGCAAAGCAGTAAATCTGCAGGAATGGACAGGCTTGGATTGTCTGTTATGTAAGGATTTTATTTAATGCTCTAGCCACTCATCTACAAGAATATTATTGATTCGAGACTGGCAGCTGGTCAGGTTGATTTATGTCCTAAACTGAAAAGCTGTTGGATAAACACTGAATATCCACAGTTTTCTGTAATACTGAGAGTGGTTTGGGCTGTCACAAGTGGGGCTGTGCCCCTCTGTGTAATCTGGATGGATTTAGGGGGGTCTGAGCCCAAGGATCTGTTCCACATTATTCAGGGCTGTGTCCCATCACTGCAGTGAGATGGGGGTGAGCTCCAGGCACCTCAGGCTCAGCAACCTGGGAGGAAATCTCTATTCCAGCAGTCTGAAGTGCCTGCCTCATCCACAGGGCTGTGAGCAGGGGCTGTGATGTCCCTCCCTCCCTCCCTGACTGCTTTCAAGTGGAGAATTCAAAGTCTGGCCTCGCTGGACAACACCCTGGAGTGTTGGGGTTGATTAGGGACTCAGCAATGTTTTATAAAAAAGCCCCAAAGTGACCTTCAGTCTGCCCTGGGGTGCCACATTCCTCTCCTGGCTCTGCAAGTGATGTGCTGTGTATAATCTTAGGAAAGTTACTTCATTTTCCTTTTCCTGGCACTGCCGTGTGAGAGTGGCTGTGCCGGGTCAGCCCCAACATCCATTTCTGCAGTGGATGTGATGATCCTTCCCCAGAGTGCTCCTCCAGCCTTTGACAAGGAGCTGAGTGACTCCTTTCATCTGGGCTCTGCAGGTTTGATCAGCTAGAAAGGAATCTGCTAAGATTTCTGACAAAGGACACAAATCCATTGCTGGGGCAGGGCTGGTGTGGAAAAGGAGCTATTTTGGTGGGCCACTCATTCATATCTGATTCAAAGCTGTTGTAGCAGTCATAAGACTGCTAGAGCTTTGTGAGCAGCTTGTTTTTAACACTTTGGAGAATGAAAATGGATGGGATTCAGTTTTGGTTGCTGATGGAAATCTCTCAGCAGGACAAAGCATTAGCAGCAAGTGCAGTGGAACTGGTGACCGTGGTATTGGCAGTGTGACCTGTCCTCCAGCAGCTTTGACACAGCTGTCCCTGGTTTGGAGAGCTTTGCCATCCTGGCTTGGTGTGCCAACAGACACAAACCAGCAGCAACCAAGGCACTGAACTGCCTCTGTGTGAGCCCCAGTGTGCCTGCAGTGAGATCCCTGCAGCCCAGGCATGGTCTGTCTGCAGCTCAGGGCTCTCTCACAGGGTTAGCCTGCCCCAAGGGGCTGCCAGCAGCCCTGCTCTCAGCATCTCACCCCATTCCTGTTAGATAAATGCTTTGTGTTCCTTGCTGCTCTCTTACTGAGTGCAGGCAGCGCCTCGAGCTGCTGCTTGACTCCTGCCTTGTGCTGTGAGGCAGCTAGAAGGCAATTGTCCCCTGTTAAGCCATGAATTGTGGTCCAGGAAATGCACAGCTGCCCTGGAAGCCCTGATGATGCTGTGGGCACAAATCAAGGCAGTTGCTGAGCAGTGGTTGTTGAAGCTTTTGTCCCTGGCTCCACCCTCCCTGTTATTTTTTGGTGCTCCAAAAGCCTCACGTCATTTTGCAGAAAGTGATTGTAGCCCCTCAGGATCACATGAACACTTCAGCAGAGTCACTTCATTACAAGCTGCTCTTAAGATGCAAATAAACCCTCCTAATGCAGTAACTCCAGCACTGCTACACTTCATAAGTCAGCATAACTGCTTCCACAGGGCTGGGATTGCAGGGCAGAGCCTCCAACTGCAGAGCAGCTGCGGCACCGGCCGAGCCAACCTGTGCAAAGGGAAGGTGCTGATGCAGTTTGGGAAAAGGTGCTGGCACTGCTTTTACTGGTACAGCCTCTTCTTTCAACCCATGTGGCTGCTTGAGTGCTGTTATGGCAGGAGAGGTTTGCAGGGAATAAAGAGAATTCCTCTTTGAAGAACTTTTGTGCCTCAGGGGGCTGAGACTCCCTGTCCATCCTCTGCTCATGTCCTGAAGCTGGCAGCTCTTCATCCTGAAGCAGAGGCTTTGTGCTCTGCAAGCTGCCAATTTGGGATCAGAATCAAGGGTTTGCAGTGCCATGAGCTCCCTTGGACCATCAAGAGCCAGCCCTTGTCCACCCACGTTCACAGTAAGTGGGGCTGGCAGCTGTATTAACGTGGTCCTCTCCTGTGTGGGGCTGTTGCTGACTCTCCTGTAAGGCAGATCCAGGCTGTCCTCCTGTCTGTCTGCCCATGAGACACATGGAAATGGTTAACCAGAGCTGCCAGTCCTGGGGAATTGCTTCAGCAGCACTTCATGCCTGACTAATCTCTGTTTCTTTCCTTCTGCACTCTGCCTGTCACTCCAGATGGGAGAGGACACTCCGTGGGTAATTGGTTCCTGTTCCCTCTGTCTTCCTCCTTCCCTCTTACTCACACACACGCCACTGTTACAGTCTCTTCCATCACTCTGAGTTTGGAATAAAGTTATGATTTGGGCATCCCACAGGAGGAAAACCAGACCTGCAGTTCCTGAACAGGGAAAGCATCGGTGCCATGGGAGGGTGACAGCCAAGAAAAACAGAGAAAAAGAGACTTTGTGCTGCTGCAATGGGAAGTGCAGCCTGGATCTGATGAGGAATTGATCAGTTCTTTATTAACTTCCCCCTGTAACTCCTGGTGCAGTAGAAATGCTGTCACTTCTCTCTTCAGTCAGGGCAGAGCCAGCTCTGCCTGTAGGGAGCTGGAGGAGCTGCAGCTCCTTGGCTCTGTTTCTGCAGCTCTGGAGCACATCTGCAGTGCTTGGGCCCGAGCTCAGGAGCCAGGAGAGGCTCAGGCTGTGCTCTGCAGAGCCCTCCAGCCACTAAAGAGGGGCTGCAGCAGCTCAGAGCTCCCTGCCTTGGAAAAGAGATGTTGGGTGCAATCTGAAAACACACACGGGCTTCTTTTTCTCCTTGTTATTAGAACTGAAGTCTTAACTAAAGCAATAAATCCACATTCTACTTTCCCCCCCAAGGCCTGACATTTAGGGAAAATGGAAGACTTGTGGATAGCTGAAGGAACCCCAGTATGTCATTCCCTGTCCCTTGCAGCCAACATCAGTTTAGGAGCTGCTTCGAGGTTGGGTTCCTACCCTGCAGCTCCTTCTGATGAGTGTAGTAGGAAATGCTAGAATGGTTAACATCTGGCTTGATTATGCAGAATTATTCAGTCATTTCCATAATACCCTTTGTAAAATGCTTGCTGCTTGATAAACCAGCCTTTCTGCTGCTGCAGACAACAGAAGCAGAAATCCTGAGTGCATACAATAATACCTGGCAGTGAACTGGATTCTTTCTCTTCCCCCAGACTTTGCTGCCTGTCAATATAAAGCTTGAAGTTCATCTGCATGCAAGACTATGAATAGGGATGAGGTGTAATAGTTGCATTTATTACTCCTCAGTGAGCCAGTAACAAGATGTAAATGATGTGATATATTAATCTAAACCATGGCTTGGATTAGAGAGCAGTCAATAGAACAAAACTCTGCTCTGTCAGGCTGTTTCACTGGGGGAGACTTGACAGTGTAATAAGCCTTATTTTATAAGCTCAATATTAATTGGATTTGCATCCTCTGGCTGGCTTCCTTTGGTCTCTGACTGAGCCTTCTTTTGATTTTGGAATCACTCGCTTTTATCTGTTATTTCTTAAGTCAGCTAAGCAAAACTGGACCGCCCGAGCCTGGGCTGCTGTGTGGAGAGGTGGCTGTTGAAAAAGATGAGGAATCTCTCAGCTTCTACCATGGCCTCAAGTAGGGATAAACTGAGTCCCACACAGGAAAAAAAGCTCTTAAGGCCTCTTAACAAAAAGCAAATTGTGTGTGATTTGTTCTTTCCTAACACCCACTTGGAGTGGTTAATGTTGCTCCTGTGAGGGCCAGGGGAGGGAGAGGTGCCTGGGAATAGGAGAGAGATCCAGGGAAGCACAGGGATTTGTCACATTTTGCAGGTTTTATGGAGGCTAGTTATCTTCTGGTAAGTCACTGTCTTACACCTTTGCTGCTCTTCTCAGGGCAATTTATCCTTTTTATCTGTGCTCTGATGGAGAGAGGTGTGAAGCTTTATGGTGTCTCTTGACCAGCATAAAACACATTTGCTGTGAGATCTCTCAGGGAGCAGGCTGGAGGGGATCTGAGCAAAGTTAATTTCCAAGTTTTTTGTGCAGAGGGAAAAGGTCAGAGCCTTTTTGGCTCTAAGCATAGACAATCCTGGGAGCTTTTGCTTCAGCTATATGGTGCATTTGTTCAATATTCTGACACACCAGCACTTACTCGAGCAACATATCCAGAGCCTTCCTTGACCCAGATTGTCACATGCTTTTTTAAAGAAAAACTAACTCCAGACTAACTCCCCAGACCCTAATCAAATGGAAGAGTGAAACCATCTCTGATGTTCTGGTCTGCCAGCCCAGCCTTTTCTTAATGGGGCTGGCTCTTACCCCGCCCTGCATCATCCCCTGTGGATGTTGTCAGGTCATGTTCCTTGTCTGAATGTGACCCCAAAAAACCCCTGTTCTAGGCAAAAAATATCACCCTGGTCTTCAGAAGCAAAGCCTGGGACACAGATAAGCTGGAGATGTCTCTGCAGTGAATTAACCTCTGCAGATCTGTGCTTGTTTCCTCCTGGTTATCTGTTAAGTGCATTTTAAATGTTCACAGTGGCGATGTTGTACTTGCAAGCAGCGTTTGTAGCCAAGGCTTGGATCCTGTCCTGATCTCTGAATTCTCCTGAGCATGCAGAGTGATGTGGACGTTTAAAAAATGGACTTTATCACTGGAAATGTGGTCTGGGTGTTTTGTAAAGGGAACTTGTGAGGGGAGAGCTTCTAGGTGGGCTGCAGAGGAGCCCCAGAGATGATTTAGTGTTTCTGGAGAGCTGTTTGGGTCACTTCAGATGTGACTGTGCAGCTTGGCAGAAATTGTTACTGAAATAGCCTGGTGCATTGTGAGCTGTCTTTGCTGTAGATTATGAAGCTGTTTATTCCCTGTCTGAGGGAGGGGAACATCTTCAAAGCCCCCCTCTCTGAGCTGTTGTCAGAGGCAGCCCAGATCCCATTCTCTTTCCTCCTCATTGCTGAAAGGAGCTGCTGTCTGAGGAACACAGCCAAGGTGCATTGTGTTTGCCCGTGCCTCCTGGCTGTTCCCTAGAAAACCAAAGCTTTCAGGAAGTGACCCTTCCTGTCAGTTTTATTTTTATGCCATTTCACAGTTACCCCAGTGGGTTTTGTGGAGCTGCTTGGGTCCTGCTGGAGGGGAAAGCACCAAGGCATGAAATGTGGAGAAGGGAGGTTTTGGTGCAGACAACAGGCACAAGAAGGGATGGATTTAATTCTTATGAATCACAGTGAAGGCATGGGGTAGTTGTCCTCAAACCAAAAGCTTTCAGCAAGCAGAGCAGGCAGGACCTCTGGGAGCTCCTTGCCAGACTCCAGGCTTTGCTGAAGAGCCCAGGGCTGGAGTAAGTCAGATGTAATTTGTGCAAATGCAGGTGACTCTGCTCACATAGCAGCATTCTCTAGGTAACTCTGCTCCCACAGCAGCAAGCAGCCCCTCTGTTCCCTGAGCTTTCCCAGCACTGCATTTCCATCTGTCCTGTGCAGGAGTGACCCGTGCTGGCTGTCTGACACCTGGCTGAAATGATCTCCTCTCCCTCTCCTCTCTCTCCTTCTCTCTTTCAGCTTGGCAGTGACCTTGGCGGGGGCATTGGAGGAAGCCCGGCAGTAAGTGCCATTCCATTCTTTTCCCCAATTTCCAAAGCTGCTCAAAGCTCAGGGGTTTTTCAGTGTAAGCTCACCCATTGCGTGCTGGAAGGTGCTTTTTAAAGCCCTGAAGATGTTTGAAAATGGAGAAATGCAACTGAAACACACAAGTCCCCACCTATGTTGATTTGAGTCCAGCTGGGCTTTCCTGAGAGCAGCCAGGGCCAGAGCTGTTCACTCTCTCTGCTTAGCTCTTCTTCCTCAGAGCTTTTAGGTGGAGCAGCAGCATTAACCCTCATCCTTGTGCAACTGCTTTAGCAGCTGAAAGGCCAAGGATGCTTATCCTTACTCACAAAGGTCTGTAACTCTAACCCAGTGTCACCACAGACTTGCCTGACCTCAGTGCTTTCTCCTCCCAAACTCCATGTAGGATTTTTGGACATCAGGGTCAGTGATCTGAGTTTTCCTACTCTGTGTGGTCAGTGCTGCCATCTCCTCTGTGCCTGTGCTTTGGGGGTGTCCTCCTGCCTACAGCTCTTGCCAGGACATGGGACAAGTTTCAGCCTGCTCTTAAAGCAGCCTTGGCTTCAAGCTCATGGCAGCTTCTTCCAGAAGAGCGTGGAAAGGGAATGAAACATGGCTTGGAGATGCATGGGCAGGAGGGAGTGTGCTTCCAACCCACAGCCAGAAGTGATGTCCCCTAGAAAGCTCCAATCCCTCTTCCCAGGACTCTGGATGCAGTAATTCAGTGAGTAAAGCAAACTCAGCTCTGGAGGGAGGGCTTTGCAGAGACCCTTGTTGTGGCTGCAGTCATTCTCTCTCCTCCTTTCCCTGCCAATCTGGCATTCCTTCCTTCCTTCAGCACGAGGGCAGAGGAGAGCTGGTGGCACAGAACTCCTGTACAGCCAGGCAGCCCACAGCAGGACATGGGAGGTGCTTCCCCATGGTGATCATACCCACACAGCCAGGTCTCTGCCCTCCTGGGCCAGCAAAAACCCAGCAGGAATTTCTGTCCTGGTCCCTCTGCCTGTTTCTGGGCTGCTGCCTGGGAAATCCTGATCTCAAGCACAGGAAGAGAATTTGGGAGTGTAACTTCAGTGTGACTGTCCCATCTGAAGCTGGGCACCTAAAGGTTAATATTCCAGCTTTGATGCCCTCATTTAGGTCCTGGAAGGGAATAATTGCCCTTCTTGCAGGAAGTTTTTCCTCTGGCAGACTCTGCTTCATGTAATGAGCCTTTAGGGCCTGAGTGCTGAGCGTGCAGAGCTCTGGCTTTGGGTGGGAGTACACAACACGGTCATGACTCCCCTGCTATCTCTGGATATGCAAAATCTTGCAGATTCCTGAAGTCTGACGTAGCTGGGGGAAGGTTTGAAGCGATTTGCTCCTCTCCCTGGGTTTATGTAGGGTAGATCCACAAAGCATGTTGTGTTATGAGGAGATATGGAGAAGAAAGATTCCTCTACAGTGGGAATAGATAACTGGAGCTATGAAAAATGATGTGGAAGCTTGGTTGAGGTGACAGCCGAGTGTAGGGATTAGCTGCCAAGAGCTTTGGAATTCAAATGCATAATTTAGCACTATTGATAAATCAGTGGGGAAGCTGCAAATGGCTTTAAAATATTTAGGATATTGCCCGAGTTCATGGTTTATTTAATAAGCAGTGCTCACACGTGGTGTTAATGAGTGCCTGTTCTTTTTGACTCCTCCAGGTGGGCCAGACCTACATTCCTTCCTCTGTGCCAGCCACCTTTGCCCCTTCTCCCACCCCAGCAGTGGTCAGTGGCCTCAACGACCTCTTTGAGCTCTCATCTGGCATGGGGATGGCTCCTGGAGGATATGTGGCTCCCAAGTCTGTACGTAAGGAAAAACAAACCATCCCCAGTTTCCTGCCTCCCCTTGAGCTACAAATGTGACATTGCTCACTTGGCCCATTTATTGTGAGTTTCTGGTGCTAAAATTTAACTCAGTCCCATTAGGGGTGGCCTGGGCTTCTCCCAAGTAGAGTAACCACATGTTAATGTTAATTTTTAGTTACAGATTTCTGGCATTTTAGTTCCCTCATTTTACCTGTGGCAGCATTTCTCTAAAGAATGGCTCAGATAAATCCCAGACTTTCAGTTGTGTCAGAGCAGCTTTCCTGCAGACCTGCTTCTTAACAAGCTTCCCTAGAAAACTGAGGGCAAGACAGAATTTGCAACAACTTTCCCAGCAGGTTTGTTTGTTTATTTAGAGGAATCCAATGTGACAGTGGAGATAAAATCATGTGGTTGGCATGATGGTGCTGCAGTGGAATGCAGAGAAATGTTCTGTCAGTGACAGAGATCACAGAGGCTTTGGCTGAAGCATGGAGTTGGGAGGGATCATGAGACACAGAACATGGTTCTGCAAACTGGCTGTGGAGCAGCCACAGGGAGCTCAGGCTCCTGAAAGAGAATAAACAAAAATTAGCACTCCATGGGTGGATAATTTTAAACCATCCTCTGAAACAGAGGATCTCAAGGTACTGCAGACAGTACTCAAAGTTTTTGGTCCTTGCAATTATTGCACCTCATATTAAAAAATATATAATTTTTTATACAGTAAAATATAATTTTTACAGTAATTTTTATATAGTAAATTACAATTTTTTGCAGTAGTTTTGAGCTAAGTACTGACTCATTTTGCACCACCCAGATCTGGATCTGGGTTTTTCCCACAGAGGTGATTTGGGAATCCAGAACCCAACAGATAATAGCATCAGCCCTGTGATTTTATTTGGTTCAAACTTTAGTTTGATAGCCCAAGCAGCCCTCAGAGAAGTCCAGCAGCAGGCTGGGTGAGTCTCATCCTGCTGTGATGGACACAAGCTGTCCCTGCTCTTGTGCACACCAATGCTGTTGTAATTTGATTTCTCCCATGGGTGCTGTGAACAAATATGGATTAGGAACAGCAAGTTTATTCCTCAGTGCTGAGCTCCATCCTTTCAACACCCATGTCCCATCTTCCCTGCAGTTTTTCTTTAGCCTCTGTGGGCTCAGTGTGCCATTCTATGTGGATTTCTGAGCTCTGTTGGAAAACTCTGCTTGTTTGTTATCTTCAGGCCAGGCTGCTCATGCTGAATGACATCTCTTGTGTTCAAGGTTTGGCTGCCTGCAGTGAAAGCTAAAGGACTGGAGATCTCAGGCACATTCAGCCACAGGCAGGGACACATCTACATGGAGATGAACTTTACCAATAAGGCTTTGCAGCACATGACTGACTTTGCCATTCAGTTCAATAAGAACAGGTAAGAAATAATTAGCAATGCTCTGTGGTCAACAGATTGAATCCTCCTGGGAAAGGAGTTTGTGCCTACACTGCTAAATTTAAGGAGGGCTTGTGCTTAGGTGTATAATGCAGTCATGGAAATAGCTTGGGTGATACAGCCTGACCTCTCCATCACACCAAAATTGTGTGAAAGGGCTGAAAACACAGACTGATGAATCTGGGAGGAAACAGGCAGCAGACAGTGCCATCCTTCTCCCAGCTCTGAAACAGCATCTGCCCCATTTCACCTCAGTGGAGTTTTCCAGCAGCCTCATGAGCTGTTAGGCAGCTTGGTGAGTTTATAGCCAGTAAGTGCCCTGGGCAAAGCAAGAGCACAGAGAGGCAGGATCTGAGCTGCACAAGTATCAACCCATGATGCCTCTGCCTCCTGACTTAATTGCTCTGCTGCTCCTCAGACTGTCTGGAAGCACAGGACTCTTTAATAAAGCTGCTTGTCACTGAAGGAGCTGCAAGCTGGGAGCCTGTGGCACATGTTCCCGCTGTAACAGGCAGCAGAACAATTCTGTCAGAAGCAGCAGCCACTTGAAAGTTCAGAGCTTGGATGTTCAGATTGTTCTTGGAAACCCATCTCAGCCAAAGGACATGACATGGCAGCACAGCCACGGTGTCTTCCCACAAATACCCTTCCCAGAGAGCTTATCCTGTGGTTTGCTGTGTGTTATCTTCAGCAAGGACCAGGCTACTTCTTATCAAGACTGCAAACAGTGTCTTGTGACTGACATGTTCTCTATATTCCTTATTATCACTTCACTGGAAAAGGCTTCTCTCTGCTGAAGATCCACTGAAACCATCTCTTTAATCTCACTGCTGCAAATTCAGGATTTCTTGGGACGAATAAGATTTACTTAGAAAAGTCATTATGCTAAATAAGTCTTAGTAAATGTTCTCCCTGGACTGCCATATTTTCTGGAGAGTTTTGCTAAGCTGCTATATCCAAATGTTTCATGCAAATTAGCCTGGAACAAAAGGCATTTTGTGATTTTTATTTTTTTTCCCCCATACATCAAGCTATATTTTAGCCACACCTGCTTTGAGGATGTAGAAAGTTTAAATACTGTACAATAAACCAGCAGTTTTTCATCTTGCACCACAAGCTCCATATACAACCTACTACAATTTATTTATTCTTTTACAAATGTTGTTCTCCTGTCAATGCTTTCCACTGTGCCTGCTGCATTAGAAAGAGCTGCAGAGGGCTGTTTTTTTAAATGTAAATATTAAGGTTTGTGATTGGGAAGTTTCTATTGCTTTTCCCTCCTTTCCTGCTGCTGCTAATGGTATTCACTGCAGTCTTGGGATAAAGCATTAAAAAATAATAAAAGAAAGCTAAAGCTCTGATGTGCTGTAATATCACCAACTGCAAGTTTGGTTCCCCTCTGAGTCTTAGGGAAAACAGGAGGGTTTGTGTCCTCCAAGGTGAAATGGCTGCAGAAGGCAAATGATGTGGCTAAGCCCTTGCTAGGAATATTCCTATTTCAGCTTCCTAGAGCTGAAAACTAAGGAGAACCAAGAATGGGGCATTTATTGGTTTCTGAAAGAATGACAAACCTGATTAATGTGGCTGACTGTGCAGAGACAGCATCAGGCTTTTAGTGGATAAACTAAAAACACACACCTATCCATCCTGCAAACACCCTGAGACCTCTGAGCTGATGGGAATTCTGCTAGAGAGAAATGCATTTATGAGTGGACACCAGAACACCAGGCTTCCATCTGCTTTTGGAAAGCAGCTGGGCTGTAGTACAGGAGTGTTGTGTTAAGTGTAGGATGTTTTCCCTCTTCTCCATGCTCAGCAGAGTTGCCTGTGGAATTCAATGTTCCTTGGACTGAACAGGCATTGCTGGGACACATCCCCAGTGTGAAGGAGCCTCCAAGCAGGCAGCTGGGCCAGGTGCTGTCATTCAGGAGCAGGCAGCTGCATGTGTTGTGTTGATTCATTTGTTGTGCTGTGCTGTTCCAAGGCACATGTCCCTCCTTGGCTGGCTGTGCAGCTCCCTGTGCCACTGCAGCAGCCATGCAGTGTGTGATGCACCCCACTGCAGTGCTCTGGAGCTCAGGAGCACAGAAACAGCACCTGCCTCTGAGTGCAGGTCATTCCTTGCTCAGCACACAGACCAGTGCCCTGTGGGTGATGGGGGAGCTCCCAGGAGCTGGGCCCTGGGGCAGGATGGTGAATTTGTCAGCAAATGAGTGAATTTCCCATGCCTTGTCTTACTTTGCTCATTTGAGCTGTGTTCCCTCCCTGGAGCTGCAGCAGGGAGTAGTGGGAAGATGAGGCAGGTGGTGCTTGACAAAGGGAACATTGTATTTTGGACAATGCAGGGCTGCTGTCATCACCTCTGTTTTTCTCCTGCCCAGCTTTGGAGTCATCCCAAGCACCCCCCTGGCCATTCACACACCTCTGATGCCAAACCAAAGTATTGATGTCTCCCTGCCCCTCAACACTCTGGGACCAGTCATGAAGATGGAGCCTCTGAACAACCTCCAGGTAAGGATTGTCTTGTTTTTGGGCAGGGGGGAGCTCAGCAGGTGCCCAAAACAATGTGGTAGGGCTCTAATCACACAATACCATGTGTAAATAGTCAGACCTCATGGATCTGGGCCAAAATTTAGTGCTCTTCCTTTTCCAAGCTTCTGCCAGAAAAACTGAAATGGAAACTTGTTGGATTTTATGACTTCTCAAAAACTGATTGCATCTGTGTAGATTAAGAGCTTTGTTGCAGTAACACTGCTGTGTAAACTGGGCATGAGAACTGGGGCAGGTCTGAACAGAGGAAGTGCCTGTGGTGGAGCAGGGACAGAGAGCTGTCAGTAAGAACTGAGGCAATTAAAGGAATTGCAGGGAAGATGGCAGCTGCTGAGTGATTAATATTTCTCCAGTGCTCTTAAATTCCAGGGTGTTTCACAAAGGCACATCCCTGCCCCAGACAGCTTCATCCAAGGCAGAGTGTGTGTTCCAGGAGAGGCAGAGGAGGAATGATGTGAGCAGCTAATGTTTCATTAATGAGGGTGTTGGTGCATAGCAGGGACAGCACTCCCTGGGGGAGCCTCTTTATCACATTGGGCTGCCAATCTGATAAAGACAGGACAGATCCAGGGAGATGCTCCCCTCTGCTTTGGACCAGAGACTGTGTCCAGTGGTCTGGAAATCATCAGGAGGTTCTTCCCCACTGCTGCCATGCTGTGGAGTGGAGGTCAGCAGCTCCTGCTTTTGCTCTGGAGTTAAATACTTTTATATTTATAACCTCTGGGTCCTCCAGGATGATTTTCCCAGTATCCCAAAATGCAGTTACCTTGCACTGCAGCTGCCTCTCTCACCTCAGGTCTCCAGGAGGTGGAACTGGGTTGGGTTCCTGCTGTGCAGCAGCCCATAGAGAGGAGTATTGTGAAGCAGCTCATTCTCTTTTTAGTTTAAAAGGATGCAATGGAAGTTACTATTTATTCTGCCTCAGCAACTGTTTTTTCCCCTTCTTTTGACTTCCATTCTGGGCCTTATGACTTATTGATGAGTCTTGGGGCTAACAGCTTGAAATAGCTGCTCTGGCACTCAAAGGAGCAGTCCCACACTTGGGCTCCAAGCAGAGTCATGCAGTGGAGGAGCACAGACAGTGAATGAATTCCATGGCCTGCCTTCCACCCTCCTGAGCCCTTCCAGCCTCTGCAAGAGCTGGATTCTCTCTGCAACCAGGTGATGAAGCTGAGGAGGTGGCATTTGGGTCAGCTGTGGTAAAATGTGGTTTCTGCTCTGAGGGGAGTGTGGAGGTGACAGTCCCAGGCAGCCTCCACAGCACTGGGGACTCTGCACAAGGCACTCTCAAGTCACTGCTTCCTTTGATCAGGAGGGAAGTGAAGTATTTGGGTTATTAAATCTCTGAAGGGCTTGGAACACAGTTTGTTTCTTGTAGCATCTCCTGCTAGAACAAAGCTCAGAGAAAACATGTGAGGAAACCTCCAGCCACCTTCTATTGAGACAGTGGAGCATTCATTAGTGCCAGACTCAGTTGTTAATTTGCTAAGGCTCTCATTGCCATAGAAGTTGGCTGCCCTTTTACAATTGGGGAAGCTGCCATATGGAGTAATAGTATATTTCTCTGCAAAGAGTTGAATCATGGTAGCAGATGCCAAGTTAAAAAGAGCACTCCCCTTACTTTTCTGACAGCAGTGGGCTTGATGGAGATCTATCAGTGCCCTGACAGCCAAGGCTCTGGTTTTGTTTTGTGGGTTCATGTAGAAAGGATTTGTCTTGGAACATTCAGAAATCGCCTTGGTGACCTACTTAGGGAACAATTTACAGCATAATATAGGAGTAGAGAATCCAAATGTTCCTGTGTTCATTGAAGAACCAAAACACTCATCAGGTTGAATTTACTTAATGTGGGGTTTTTTTTTTTTTCCTCAGCTAGGGAACATTGAAGCAGATGTAGGGCTGGTTTGAACCTGAGGACCTTATGTTCATCTCCTATTCTGGTGGGAGTTTTTTGTTTTTAGTAACAAGAAAAATAAGTCCTGAAGTAACCAAACTGATAGCTTTCAACTTTTTGTCATGTTAATTATACACTTCAAAGACTAGTTGTACATTCCTTAGGCAACTATTTCAGAAGTAATGAATTCATGTCTTGTTCAGGTTATTTTTATTACCATTTCTAATCTTTCACCCAACACAGCTCACTTAATCTTGACATTTGTAATCATGGAGAGAAACTAAAATATTTGACAAGGTAACAAAAAAGACATTTTTGCAAGAAGATGAGAAGGGCTGAAATATTTTCAGAGGCTTACTTAGGTAAAATATAGCTGAAGAGTCTTGTGTTTGCTAGTCACCTTGCATCTTGTGATACTGAATGCCAGGCTTCTCCCCTGCATCCCAAAATAATCCTGATTATTTTCATGACTTGTTGGCTCAGCTTTAACCCCCAGTCAAGCAGAGATTTATCCAAAAGGTAAAGCTGGGCTGGACAGAGCACTGTAGGGCTGAACAAACCCCAATCCTTGCTCTCTACTTCATCTTTTTAACTTCTGTCAGATTAAAAAGCTGCCTTTGGAGTGTGCCTAAGTCAGAAAATCTGACTTAGGTATTTGTGTGCTTCTAATTTTGGTGGGGGACACCTTTGCAGTGCCTTGTCTGCATTTCTGGGGCTGCCTGGTGCTTATGGCACCAAGAAATAACAACAAGCCCTTGCCCAAAGGTCTGTGAGAGGCTCTGTTGACCTTGCTGGGTGTTTGATGGCCATAGAGACACCTCTGGAAGTTGTCCAGGTCTCCCTGGCTCCTGCAGTGTTGCTTTTTCACAACCAAAGCAGTGGTGACACTGCTGGTGACATGTGGGCCATGCCAGCTGGGTGAGGTGTCCTTGGCACCACGTGTGTGAGACCTTCACCCTCCTAAAACAGGGATTTGCACTGGCGGGAATATTAAATCTTTCCAGATAGTTCTTCAAGTCAAATTTGGAATTAGGAAAATGCCTGGGCTGAAAGCCTTTCTATGCTAAAGAGAACCACTGTTCCTAATAATTGGCTTTTTAACAGCTAGGAAATGCTGTGTAATTGGAACACCCATTGGAGCACACAAGAATTGCTCCCCTGATCCTGGAAATGGATGAAGTGGAGCCAACCTGCAGCCAGAGTTTGAGAGCTCAGGCCTGGCCTGTCATGGCACAAATCTGATCATCTCTTCTGTGAGATTATAGCCCCTTGCAGGAGACAGTGCAGGTGAAAAGGAGCTGTAGGCACTCCTGGAGCAGCAGCAAGTCTGCCTGAGGCTGGAGCCACTCTCCTGGGATCAGAATGCACCATCAGTGTGTCACAGCCTGCTGGCAGCTGCCAGCCCTGCTTGCTGCAGCTACAGAGCATGCAGCTGAAAAAAGCTGGAATGTTTCAAACTGCTTTTTTTTTTTTTTTAATTTAATTCAGTAAAATTATCTGAATGTGGAAAGGGAAAGGTCTGCCAGCTGCATTTCTCCCTGGGAAGGAGAAATGGAAACACAGAAACACAGACTTGCTCCTGGGCAGTGTGAGCTGCAGGACACTTTGGCAAAACCTTTTTATAGAGACAGAGGAGGAAGGTGCAGCTTCCTCACTGAGGAAATATCAGTGTTGCTAATGCAGTGGATGATCTGGAAGTTTTCAAACTGCTTTTTTTTTTATTTAATTCAGTAAAATTATCTGAGTGTGGAAAGGGAAAGATCTGCCATCTGCATTTCTCCCTGAGGAGGGACACTTGGAAACACAGAAGTCATGTGCAGGATACTTTTGTTGTTTGAAATGAGTTTGGCAAAACCTTTTTGTAGAGACAGAGGAGGAAGGTGCAGTGTCACTATAGGACACGAAAGAACACAAACACACACCACTGTTCTTAAGGTGAAGGAAAAAAACAGGGAAGTTTATTTTCTGAGTCCAACATTTATAGTGTTCCAAGAGTGACAGTGGATTGGAGGGTGACAGTGCCACCTCTCCAATGACACTGGACAGACCAACAGTCCATCAACTTTCTCCTCCTCCATAAAGGAATGCAAAACAATGAGTTATTTACAGAAAGTGTGTAAGAAAGTTCACTACAAGAATTTCAACATCAGAAGGCTTGGAAAATCTTAAAAAACCAGGGTGACAGTGCAGCTGCTTCACTGAGGAAATATCAGTGCTGCTGATGCAGTGGATGATGCTTGTCCTTCCTGCTGTAACTCATCACCTGTGCTCCTCCACGCTCCAGAGTCTGGCAGTGCAGAGCTGCTGGAGCTCTCATTCATCAGAGCTGTTAATGGAGCTCAGGTCACAAACACAGCACTCAGAACCCGCAGACAGATTTCACACATCCAGCTCTCTGTGGGAATCGTTGTGAGCAGCAATTCCAGCCGACAGATGTTCACTCTCCAGAGCCTGCTTGATAAATGACACAATATCTGCTCGTGGGTGAGGATCCCTGAGCAGCCACCACACAACACCTGTGGGTAGCTGGATGGGGAAAGATGCTGCTTGGGTTTGTTGCCTGGGTTATTCTTCAACAGTCTCTGCTTGTGAGAGTCTTATTTCAGCAAAGAACCCTGCTGGGAACACTGAATTAAGGACTTGGATCACAGCTTGGCATCTGTGGCCAGTTCCTCACTCAGCTGTGGAAAGCTGTTGGTTTGGAGGTTAAGAGCACGTCTGCCACATGGTGCAGCACATTTATAAATTGTACATTTTGAACTTGAAGTGCAGCAAGGCACAGGAGAGCACAACCCTCCCAGTAACTCTGTGTTCCCTGACGTTGCTGTAACCCTTGCTGTGCCTGCACAGCTCCAGGCTCAGCCCCGTGGGTAGAGCACAGAGAGGAGAAGCACAAACCTGTGGCTGGCGGGGGCTGCAGGCACCCCTGGGATCCTGAGAGCCCTTCCTGTCACAGACATATTTTATGAAAAATTCTTTCCTTAGGATTTTTTCTCCTGAGAAGCTGAGAAGCCTCAGGAACAAAATGTAAGCAATGATTATCTGCTGCTGTGGAATGCAACAGGTGGATCTGTCATTGGTATCAAGTGGTTGTTTTTAATTAATGGCCAGTCACAGTCAGCCGGCTTAGACTCTGTCTGAGCCACAAGCTTTTGTTATTGTTCTTCCTTTTCTATTCTTAGCCAGCCTTCTGATGAAATCCTTTCTTCTATTCTTTTAATATCATTTTAATATAATATATATCATAAAATAATAAATCAAGCCTTCTGAAACATGGAGTCAGATCCTCATCTCCTCCCTCATCCTCAGACTCCTGTGAACACCATCACACCCTTGCTGTCACACAAAATGAAGTGGAGGTTCAGCTTTCCCTGGGGGCAGAGCAGCAGACTGTCACAGAGCAAGCCATGACCTGGTGAGGTAAAAAAAGGCTCTGCAGAGGAGATTTGTTCTTGCCTTTACAGTTTGGCTGTTACCAGGCTCTAAAGCAAAACCCAACTTAAGTCAGTCCCTAATTTAGTGTAGGTGCTAATGGGATTCCAAGTGGGTATGTTGTGTACTTGCTGCTGATGGAAAGCATCTGTGTTGCTTTCAGACTTGACTTTCAAAGTCAGTTCTGTTGCTCAAGTCTGAGATTTAAAGCATCAGAAACCTACACTACTGAAGAAAATAACTTGACATTGTTCCTATGAGGGGCTTCTTCCCCAAAATACCATGTCTGGGCTCTCAGAGGGCTGGACTGCAGGAAAGCTCTTCAGAAAGGTGCTTATGCTGGAAGGTGAGCAAATAAATTCCAGGGGTTATTTCTGGAGGTGCTGCTTCCTCTAGTCAGATCATGAGCAAGACATCAGTGATTTGTAACCCTGAGCCAATTTTTAGTGGGCTCACACCTTTTCAACAGTCAGGCATCACACAAAAATCTGCCACCTTTTGACTTCTATCCCTCAGAGCTTTGTAGGCTGCTTGACTTAATTCACAAGGTACTAATGTTTTTTTCCCCTCTCTAAAAGATCACAAATGGAAAGCCATTTTTATTAAAAACGCTTCTGTTTCAACTCTGAAATGTCTGAAGCTAAAGGTCTAGCTAGAGATTTAATAGGTCATGTCCAGGTCAGCAGGTTAAAGCAGAGCCATGAGCAAAGTGAGTCTGGACTGGAGGATTTATTGAGTGCAAGCAGAGGTTTCTTTACAGGCATGTCAAACCTGGAGAGGCTTCTCAGCTCCTGCTGTCACATCAGATGTCATTGCCTGTCTCAGGGCAATGTTCCCACCTGAGGAGCGCTGGATTTTTTTGGAAAGTCACTGTTATTACCTGCTCAGCTTCTTGCAGGTGCTGCTTTTGTAGCCTGTCAGGTGGCACTGGGTGCCCCTGATGTGGAGCATGACCTTGGGAAGCTGTTACCAACTCTTCTTGTGTGAGTTTCCCCATCCAGGTGGCTTTTGATGGCCCAGACCTTGTGGAGCCCAGTTTGGGGGAAGTGTGTGGTGGTGAACAACAGAAGCTCATTTTGAGGAGCTCCCCACTCATGTCCCAGTGCTGTAGGTTCAGGAGAGCTTTTTCCACCCTGTGTGCAAAAGTTATTTGTGACAGCTGATTCCTGCATGATTACAGCTGCTTGCAAGGTGACTGTGATGTCATTCCTGAAGCCAGTGATGCAGTTTGGGAGGAAGGCTTCCATGTGGCATGATTTTTCTTTACTGGGAAGAAATTGCACTTCAGAGCATCTTAATTGGGTAGCTCTCCAGAGATAGCCAAAGCAGCTTACTCAGTGTGTTTCTGCAGAGTTGAGAAGCAGGTCAGCAGATACCTTTTTATAGCATCCTTATAACTGCAGGGACAGGGCTGGCATATTAATTTGGAGTGTGCCTCCAGAACCGTGACTGGAGAGAGGGAGCTGCTTCCCAGCCCCTCTTGTAAGAAACTGCTGTTGTATGGCAACAACAATTAGCTACAAAAGCTAAGTAATCTCTGTTGTTCTAAGGCAAGGCAATTAATCATTAAATCAGACTTGGAAAAGATCTTGGGTTGTGCAGTGTAGTCCCTGCTATGCTTTGTTGTTTTCCTACAGTTCCTCTTATTGAGAGCATTGTCAAGGCTGATTTTTACTGTAAGTCCAAGCACTGGAGCTTCTTTTATCCTCAGAGGAATTTAGTGCTGCTTAATAATTCTCACTGTTGGTTTTCCCAGACATTTAGCCTAAATTTCCCCTCTCCTGGCTCATCTCCATGACTTATATCCAAGCACAGCATCTGGAATGGCTGCACTGCTGTCCCTCCCCCAGCTCTCCCCTCCCAGACTCTGAAGTGCATTTTTGGCTCCTCACCCAATGTGTTCCATCATATTTTGCAGTGGTGAATCACTGAAGTCCACCCACCAATCTGCTTTTACCCCTCTGGTTCAAACACTGAGCACTCCAACTCGTGAGCATGACGCCAGCAATCAGAGCATGGAACAAGTCCCTGTTACAGGGAACCAATCCCAGGTTTTTCCTCAGTTGCACCATCATTTGTGTGGTTTTAGTGGGCTTTAGACTAATCCCTTCTTAAGCTGGTTTGCACTGGGGGAATTAAATATAAGCTGCTACCTTTAGTGATGGCTGAGAAGTAGAAGCACCACAGATTGTCACATTTACCTTTCTGCAGTTCTTTGCACTTCTGGGACCTCACAATTGCCAGAAGAGTTTGTTTGGGAGCTTGATCTCCTTCCACTTGTCTCTGGCTTGCATGCATGTCTGACCAGCTGACTGCTTTATTCCCCTTCCTTATCCACAGCTGGTTTTTACCAACAGTTGTGGGTGTCCTTCTAAAATTACCTCTATAGGACAATAGATTTTCCCAGTAGGACATCAATATATGTAATTATTAATATCAATGAAGTTTGTCTTGCCATAAATCTTTGTAGCAGCAAATTTATTCCTTTGGCTCAGCATTTAGCATGGTCTGGTTTGTGTTTCAGGGTGACAAATTGGAAAACTCCCTCTGGGGGTTTTCAAACAAAGTGGGAGCTCAAATAGCTCCTGAAATTCCCCACACGACCTCAGTTCTGGGTCTTTCTTACAAGGTTTAAGATTCCTTTCTTGCAGCTAAGGCAGGTGTTTGCTGAGCTGTGCTCCCATGACAGCCTCCAACTGTGTGGGCTGACGTGGGGAGAGCATGAGAGGCATGGAAATAAAGCCCAGAGGTGCCTTTTCCTGAGCTGTGCTGTGACACTGCACCTCTTACACCTCCTAATAAAGCCCAGAGGAGCCTTTTCCTGAGCTGTGCTGTGGCACTGCACCTCTCACACCTCCCAATAAAGCCCAGAGGAGCCTTTTCCTGAGCTGTGCTGTGACACTGCACCTCTCAGACCTCCCATTTGCTGCTGCTTGTCCCAGCCTGGGGAAAGCTGTTAGCAGAGATTAGTGGGGAACATGGCAAGTGTGTGTGATAAAGGCAAAGCAGATAAGGGCAAACTCCCTGGCTGGTGCAGTTTAATGACACTGAGAATTAAGTCTTTTGTCAAGTGATGGTTTTTTTTTTACCTGATTGCTCTCTAGCAGGGCTTTCTTCTTCCAGGAATCAATACCCAGCACATATTCCCTGTTTAGATTTTACTGAGGGAAAGGCAGGAATCTTGGGAGATGCTACAAGGAAGATGCAGGCAGTGGACTCATTTAAGGCTTTCTAGAAAGTGTCTGAACTGAGACAGGACTAATCAAAGAGGTGAAAAATAAGGAAATGAAGATGAAAATGAAGAATACTGCACAGGTTTGGAGCTGGGGAATTACAAGAGTGGGTGATGAAGAAGCTGATGTGCAATGTGACAGACATGATAGCAGGTGTGTGCAACCAAGAGGTTGGGATGTACCTGTAAGAAGTGAGGAGAGGGAGAGGCAGGAAAGAGCCAGGATGCTGCTGTGAGCCCCTGAGTGGAGCTGGCTCTGAAGCAGCACAATGAAAGGTTCACAGGAGAAGTTTGGGCAGCTTTCAGTGAAAATGGAGCAGGGGACTGGTCCTTTCTGAAACTGCCCAGGAGCTCAGTACCTCCCATTCAGCCTGGCCTGTGCTCAGAGAGAGCACTCCAGGGTGGTGAGACTGTGTGTGATCCCTTTGCTTTTCCAGCTGAGAGAGACTCTTTAACCTCCCTGTTTTCTCTGTGACAGGTGGCTGTGAAAAACAACATTGATGTCTTTTACTTCAGCTGCCTCATCCCTCTCAACGTGCTTTTCGTGGAGGATGGCAAAATGGGTGAGTGCTTTGGGGTTTGTGCTGAGCCTCTTTCATCCAGGCTGTGCCCAGCTGGAGCTGCAGGTCCCTCCTGGCTCTGTTTCACCTGTGCCTGGACCTTCAAACCACTGCATCTCAGCAGGTCTGGTCTGGTTGTCCCTGTTGTCCTGTCCCTGTTGTCCTCCAGCTGCAGAACCCAAGTCCCCTCCTCTCATTCTCTCAGCCAGGTGGATCTGTTTTCTTTGAAGCTGATTTTTTTTTTATTTGTTTGGGTTGGATTTGTTGTAGTTTTGGGGGTTTTTTGATGGTTTGATTCACTTGAATGGGTCTAGGATTTTCACCCATACCATTTTCACTGGAATTTTTGTATTCACAGTCACCTTTATTGTATTCCTAGTCACCTTTATTCCTCCCAAACTGCATCACTGGGTTCAGGAATGACATCAAATGTCACCTTGCAAGCAGCTGTAATCATGCAGGAATCAGCTGTCACAAATAACTTTTGCACACTTTATTTGTATTTCTAGTCACCATTTTCACTGGAATTTTTGTATTCCTAGTCACCTTTATTATAAAAGTTTTGTTTGAATTGGCTGGAAGTTGCTAGAAAAGCAGCTTTCACTAACATAATCCTAAATATATGGATCTCCTTCCTTCTTGTCAAATCCTGCATATTCTTGGCTTGTAAACAGCTCATATGGCAAAAACTATTCCTCTTTTGGGGGAGGCCAAAATCCATCAAAGCTTTGCTGCTTTTACAAAGAGTCTGAGGTAAATCCAGGAATAAATCTGTCCCCAGCAAGGAAAAAAGTTCCCAAAAGCCCTTCAGTGTGTCTGCTTTGGAATATTCTGTGGTGTGTTAATTAATGCTGGGGTCCTGTGAGGATCCCACAGTGCTGAGGGGATTTTTTTGTTTCTAGAGCGCCAGGTCTTCCTTGCAACATGGAAGGATATTCCAAATGAAAATGAGCTTCAGTTCCAGATTAAAGACTGTCACCTGAATGCTGGTGAGTAGCTTCATTCTGCCATGCTGAGAGCATTTTTGATGTATTGCCATTAAAAATCACCTTATTAATATCACCTTAGTAAAATAAGCTGATGGCTGATGAAGATGTAAGTATTGCACTTTTGAATAGCACAGCCTGGGATCCTAGGGCTTGTTTCAGTCAAAAAACTTTTGCTGGGTCCTCATAAAAGCACATCTAAAAATCCCAAGTCTTTGATTTGACCAGTCTGTTTCTTCCTTTCATTCTGGACCTTGTATTCTTGTTTTCCCTTTTATACTTTGCTTCCCTGCAAAGCTGCTCTTTAAATGGAGCTGAATGTGGTGTTGGGGCTGTTCAGCAACCCTGTCCTGCTGCTGTGAGTTGTGATCAAAGTGTTCCAGCCCTGCTGCATCACCCTGGGCCACTCACTTCACCTTTTGGCAGCTTCTTTCTTCTTTTCTGACGTGAAAGATTTAACCCTAGAGACACTGCAGGGTGTTGGGTGTTTGAGGAGGACAGGCCAGGTGGGAGGGGTGTGCTGGTGTTAGCTGAGGTATTGATGCATTTTCATCATGTTTGGTCCTGTTCAGTTTGTTTGGCTGTAGAGTTTCCTCTGTGAGCATCTTGTACGTGTGACCTTACTACTGCTGAAGGATAAGGGAGTGTAAAAGGGTGGAATGGGGCCAGCTCAGCAGCTCTGCTCCTGTTCTGGAGGTTCTGGACAGGAGCCAAGTGATTCTACCAAAAGCTGCTCTGTTTCACAGATGAAAGAAGTGTCCCTATTGATTACCAGCCCTGTAACCTTTTTATTCTCCCATGCCTGCTATTACACAATGAACACCCTCATGCTTCAATAGCAGACAGAAACCATGGGTCTCTTTGTACTCATAATTATTACTATTTTGGAATATAAAAGCTGGAGCACGCAAGAGGAGGGGAAAAATAGCAGCTGTTGGACCTTATGACTTGATTTCACTGTGGGGTTTGAAATGAGAACAACCTCTGTGCCTCCCCCAGTCCTCCCTCTGCTCCTCACTGAGCTTGGCATTGCCTCTCCCTGCACTGCAGAGCTGCTGCTGCTGCTGCCTTCTGCCCTGGCCATGCCCTGGCTGCATCCAGGACTCTTTATCTCCAATCAGAAACACTGATTAGAGATAAAGAGCCCTGGAAGCTGCTCATTTTGGTGTTGAGGTGCTGCCTGGAAGGGGATGTGGCTGGGAGGATTGGCAGTCCTGCAGCCTGGCCTCCCCCTCCTCCCTCTGGAAGAAGATGTTATGAAATTTGGAGTGACAGAATGCTCCCCATTGCAGAAGGGTTTGCCAGCTCAGGGCCAGACTGCTCAGGGCAGGACAAGTTTCCAGCTGTCAGGGAGAGCAGGGAGCACCAGGCAGTTCCTCTCAGTGGGATCTGCAGCCTCTCCCAGGCAGGAACGTGGTCAGAGCCTCTCCAGAGCACAGCCCATCCCTTGGGGTGCTCAGGACCTGCAGCCTCTTTGGCAGAAAGTGAATCTCAACCCATAAACAGATTCCTAACACTTCCACTGAGGCTTCTGTTTCTGCTACCCTCACCTCCTCCCTCTTGCCACTGCTTGACCACCTGGGCTTGAGCATGAGCAAGCCAAGAGCTTGCAGGAGGGAAAACCAGGGAAATGTTGTGTGCTTGCCTGAGCCCCCTTGTGTTTTTTCTATATTTTCTATTTTTTTTTTACCAGTGCAGCCCTGACTCAGCCTGCCCACCTTGATTTCCTCCAGGCAGTAACCTCCTCTAGCTCAGACCATGCTAAGAGCACCAAGCCTTGCTTGCACAAGGATCAGCCATATCCAAAACCCATGGAGTGTGGAATTCCAGCATCCTCTGGGGTGCAGGCTTCTCTCAGCATGGCAAGTGAGACACTAGGGCAGAGGCAGAGTAGGCTGGGTGAAATCTGGCAGGAGCTGAGTCCATCTTTTAGTTTACACCAGAGCAAGGGTGTGTGCCAGGCCATGTGCCTCAGTAGGGTGATGAGTTTTCAAGATTCACAATTTTGATTGTTTAAATACACTAAAAATAGGCTTAAGACTATCCATTCTTCCAAAAAAAGCAAGTTTACATGTAAAATCTTTAGGAACTTGATCCTTGTGGAGGAAGGGCTGGTTCCTGTTCCTGCAGGAAATGTGTAACCACAAAATATAATAAATAAATAAAGCTCTCAGTTTGGGCTGTCAGTGCTTGTGGTGTCTTTGCAGGTTTGCAATGCACTCGTGGCAGAGCTGCACAAAACTCTGCAGATCCCAGCAGCTCCTCACCAGACCTGAGGAGAGGCTGGGTTTGTGCACAGGGAGCAGCTCAGGAGCACTGCTGGCTCCTTGGAGTGAGCTGTTCTCCCTGCTGGGATCTGCTGGGCTCAGTCATTCATGCCCAGCCTGAGCCCACCCACCAGGTGGTGAGTGCTGAGACACCATTCATGCCTCAGCCTGGCTGATCCCAGCCCCGTGACGTGAGTGCAGCTGGAGCTAAAAATACCCAGCTCCCAGAGCAGGGCCCTCACACAGCTCCACAGCCACTCAGAGCCCTGTGGAGCAGCTGGGCTGGCAGAGGCTGGGCAGGAGTGATCCCTGCACCCTCAGGGCCTGGCTCTCCTTCTCCCAGCTCTCCTTCTCTCAGCTCTCCTTCTCCCAGCTCTCCTTCTCTCAGCTCTCTTTCTCCCAGCTTTTCTATTTTCAGCTGTCCTTCTCTCAGTTCTTCTCTCAGCTCTCCTTCTCTCTGCTTTCCTTCTCCCAGCTCTCCTTCTCTGTTTTCCTTCTCCCAGCTCTCCTCCTCTCAACTCTCCTTCTCTCTGCTTTCCTTCTCCCAGTTTTCCTTCTCTCAGCTCTCCTTCTCTCAGCTCTACTTCTCTCAGCTTTCCTTCTCCCAGCTTTTCTATTCTCAGTTCTCCTTCTCCTGTTCTCCTACTCCCAGCTCTCCTTCTCTCAGCTCTCTTTCTCCCAGCTTTTCTATTCTCAGCTCTCCTTCTCTCAGTTCTCCTCTCAGCTCTCCTTCTCCCAGCTCTCCTCCCAGTTTTCCTACTCCCAGCTCTTCTTCTCCAGCTCTCCTTTTCCCAACTCTCCTTTTCCCTTTCTCCCTTTCTCCCATCTCCCTTTCTCCCATCTCTCCTTCTCTCAGCTCTCCTTCTCTCAGCTCTCCTTCTCTCAGTTCTTCTCCCATTCTCCTTCTCCCAGCTCTCCTTTTCCCATTCTCCCTTTCTCCCATCTCCCTTTCTCCCATCTCTCCTTCTCTCAGCTTTCCTATTCTCAGTTCTCCTTTTCCCAGCTCCCCTTCTCCAGTTCTTCGCCAGCTTTCCTTCTCCCAGCTCTCCTCCTCCCAGCTGCAAACAGCCTTTCCTTTCATGAATTCTCACATCTGTGCAGCCATCCTGGAGGCCCTGCAGAGCAGTCAAGCAAGGGGTGCTGCTCTTCCTCAGTGGAGAAACTGAAATTTGAATTTCTTTCTGTATAAACACCCTGCACTTTTTCCCTATTTAGATTTTGTTAAGGACAAGGCAGGAATCTTGGGAGATGCAGACAATAGACCCATTTGAAGCTTTCTAGAAAGTGTCTGAACTAAGACAGGAGTAATCAAGGAGGTGAAAAACGAGGAAATGAAGGTGGAAATGAAGAATGCTGCTTAGTGGAACTGGGGAATTACAGGAGTGGGTGATAAAGAAGCTGATGTGCAATGTGACAGACATGATAGCAGGTGTGTGCAGCCAAGAGATTGGGATGTACCTGTAAGAAATGAGGAGAGGGAAGAGCAGGGAAGAGCCAAGATGCTGCTGTGAGCTCAGGAACTGCTCTGAAGTGAGTTAGACTTGAAACAGGGATTTGCTGGGGGCTGGGATTTGATCTGTCAGAAAAGCAGTGTGTGAGTTCCTTGTACATCCAGAGCTGTCTGTCACAGTGCAACAGCCACCTTACAGCACCTCCTGTGCAAACTGCAGACTCCTCTCCAGGTTATTGCTTTTCCTCCTTCAAACAAAAGGAGATAAACACAGACAGACAGCAGAGAAGCTTCTGTGGCAGTCTGTGCTCCCAGGCCTTTGTTGGGAAAAGATCCATCCTGTGCCCACAACCCAAATAGGATTGGTTGGAGCTTTGGTGGCTTGCAACAGGGATGGCAAAAAAAGCTCATCCCAAAGCACTGAGCAACCAGAAAGTCTTGGCTGCTGCAGGTAGCCCAGAGCAGGGCAAGGGAAGCCAAGGAAAAGGTGCCAGGCTGTGGGATGAGGAGCAGGTACCTGTGAGTGGGAATTGGGGTCTGATCTGTGAGCTGATTGTGTCTCCACCATCTTTGCTTCCAAAAAAAGCAAATCCTGGACCTTTGAAGCTATTCCCACCATTCCCCAGTGACTCAGGGAGAGATGAGTGCTTAGATCTGGATTTGGGGCTCAGGTTCCCAGTGGTGAGAGATGGACCTGGCCTGAGGCTGTTCCTGAGGGCTGTGGAGGAGCAAGTCCCTCTGGAGCTCTGTCATGGGGCCAAGGTGTGCTTGGGATGCCCTGCACATCTTGAATTCATCTGTTCTGTGCATCAGCCTCTTAGGAAAAGGTTGGGAAAGTTCCCTGGAGAAAACCTCATTCAGAAATAATGAAAACACAAGGTCGTGGTTATAGCCCAGCATCCTCATCTCTTATTAATCCATGCTAAATTAATTGATTTGGTTTTTTTTTTTTTTTTTTTAATGAAAATACATGAATCTAGTGCACGAAAATAGATTGCTTAACTGTTACAGCTCAAATATTCTGGGTGCTGTTGGTGCAGCTGAGGTTTCCCCTGTAACTGAGCATGCACTGAAGCTCAGTTTGCCTTGTTTACACTGAGATTTTTTCAACATGCTAAGTTTGACTAAATTCTAAAGGATCCCTACATTAGGATATGCAAATCAGATGAGCTAAATGGTTTCCTTTTTCCTAAACACTGCTTACCCAAACCCACAGAGTGAAAGAGGATGAGCTGACTTGCACATGGAGATTTCCTCCCATTTAATGGTATTCCATCACTTGCTGTGCTGTTCAGCACAGGAATTTTGGTTCTGTTTATCACTGGTGCACAATTTGGTACCTTTCTTGTTTGGAGTTTAACATGGCTTTATTGGTATGCAGTGGTCACTGTGTTTTTCTCCCCCGGATAATTTGCTAATGCCAGAAAAAAAGTAAATTGGATTTTATTTTGATGAAAAAACCTGGGGGGAAATCACACAAGCTTGCATGGTATTTTGTTTTTTTTTCTGAATGTGCAAATCCTGTAGCTGATAGTTTAATAAATTACAAAACTGGTGCATATTACATGTCCTGGAAATGAATGTGGTGTCAGAACATTGCCCCAAGTGCCTCCCCAGTGGATCAGCCTGTGCTTGGTATTTGAATGCAGTTCTTGGCTGGATGCTCAGAACCATTCAGGTGCTGCTGGAAATGGCACAGGGATGTTCTGGACTATCACAGCATCAAATAAAAGCATTAAATTGTACTTTCTGTATGGAGTGCTTGCTGCAGATTGCCACAAAGGTCAGACAAGGTGTGTGGTCAGTGTTGGCTCTGAGCTGTGCCTGTCCTTGGTGCACACCCCCTGCCAGGTGCTCATCTTGGCTCTCTGAGCTCAGGTGTGCAGTTCTTAAGCTGGTGGGCAGAAGATTTGAGCTCATCCTTTGCTTTACCCAGGAGAAAAGTGCTGTTAAAAAAGGAGTTGGGTCCCTTCAGTGCAAAGAAGGAGACCCTGTGAGCTGTTGAGTTGTTCCTCCCTGTATTTCCATGTGCACTGCTTGGCTGAGGGACTGAGGTCAAAAATTCTGTTCAGAAAGGAAAATACAAGGAAAACAAACCAAACAAACCAGCCCTGAAAGCTGGGCTGATGTCAGAGGCTTCCCTGGCCTTGGTGATGGCCAAACCTCCCTTCCCTTGTCCTTCCCTTGTGCTTCAGGAGGGTTCTGAGAACAAACCTTGAGACAAAAGAAAGTTGCAGTGCAAGGCCAGCTGTGCCTTGTGCTGCTTTGCAGAGTCCCCAGAATCACTCAGCCCTGCTCCTGCCTCCCTGGCCTCCCTGCTCCCAGCAAGATCTGCCTGGGTTTCTTTGATTTTATTTCTTTATTTTTTTAAATAAAGGCTGTGCTGTCACATGGCATTAGCGGTCCTGCCTTCAGCCAGCCCCAGCCTGCCACTGTTGCTTAGCAACTCTGATGATCTCCAAAATCCAAATTGCTGATACTCCAGAGCACAGGAGGGATGGGAGCTGCTACCTGTGGGAGAGAGGGGCTCAGCTCTCCCCAAATCTGTGCTCAGACAGGGGGCAGGAGGGCCAGGCAAGCCAAGCATCATCTCCAGCTGCTCACCATTGCTCTGGCTGGGGCAGGGCATCTTTTGGTGGGGCTTTTTGTGCTCTTTGAGGTCAGGGGAGCAGAAAATTGCAAAAACCTTCCTAGGGTTTGCCCTGCCTCACTTTCCCTCCCTGTATCCCCCTACAAGCACGTCCCTGCTCTGGAATCTGCCCCTCAGCAGGGGCTGGGGGTGTTTCCATGGCAAGAGGAGGCATCGCGTGAAGATTTTGGTGTAAGAGCAGCTGCTCTGTGGCTGTGTCTCACCTGCTGAGCTCCCTAGGCACAGTTCCCCTGCTCTGCCATCACCCCTGTGATGGGGCAGCAGCCAGAATTGCAGCTTCTCATTCCAATCCTGCATCCCTGCTCCCCAGGGAATGCCTTTGCTCTGACAGCACCTCCCAGCAGAGGGGAGGCTGCTGTGGCAGGTGTCAGGCTTGCTGGAGAAAGTCCTTGCCAGCAGTTCCACCTTCCAGAGGGGTGAGGTTTAACCACAGCCTGTCAAAATGAGTCCAAAAAATCCCATTTAATACCAGCAACCCTCTCAGACAAGGATGTCCTGTCTGAGCCTGTGCTTGTGTTGGGCTCTGTGCCTTCCCAAAGGCCTGGAGGCTCCTGCTGATGGCTTGAGAGCATGAGAATATGGGAATTTGGGGTTCTTTGCTGGTGGGTGATGTCCTTGCAGCATGGATTAATCCCAGGCACACTCCCTGTGAGCAGGGGACTGCTCTGCACTGCCCATTTCCCAAGTCTGGCTGAGTTTATTGTGGGGAGGAGGAGTATGGGTGGGAGGAGGAGACAGGCAATGAGGGGTTTTAAGCAAAAGATCTCATTAGTTACATATATCAGCCAGTTTCCATAGTAACTGGGGAAGAGAGGAAGCCTAAATCTGAGTGTGTCTGGGTGGCTGCATGCCTGAACCATCCTGGGCCTGCAGGGAGCTGCTCTGGGGAGCAAAGGGGGGCACAAAGTGTCCAGGCTGCCTGGGGAGAGGCACTGGATCCCAGTGTCTGCATCAGGGGTGGATTTGCCTTTTTCTTCCTCCTCCCACCATTCCCTGGTGTATGAACGGGCTCTGCTGTCCTCTGTCCAGTCCCTCAGCACAGACTGGTGTCCACTGTCAGCTCTGGCACCCCATGGATGGATTAGAGCTGCATGGTCACTTTGTGCTGCTCCTGTGCTCCTTAGATGGATCCCACATTTCTGGCCTCTCAGTGCAAGGTGGTTTAAGGCTGTTTCTGTCCCTCATTTTTTGTCATAAATGACCCAGCCTGCTCTGAATGACCCAGCACAGATGAAATGTTCCACCTGCCCCTGCAGGGAGTTAAATTTCTCCTGTTGAGCACCAGAAATGGGAATTTGCCAATGATGCTTATCAGGATCTTCCACCCAAAGTGTGCCTGTGCCCCTTTACAGGCATCCACAGCCTGATGTGTGCTGAGGGAACCCCTTGGCATCCAGGGCTGCTCTGTATTCTGTGGATTTCCCTGTTCTGGTTCCCTCAAAAAGTCCCTTAGAAATAATGTGTGTGACAATGACACCCATCCAGGTGTGCAGCTGAATTCACACCTCATCTGCAAGGGCTGAGGTCAGGCTGTGTGTTAAAACCACACCACAGCCCTGTGATGTCTGGAGACAGTGCCTGGGGGGTGGTTTACCCTTTCAAGTAATTACTTTTTTAAAAAGGGAGAGGATTTTTACTGCTTTGTAGGACATTGATTTGGCCAGAAGTGTCTGTGTGTGAGCAAAGTAGGAGGGAGCTCTTGTGGCTGGGACACAACCTCAGAACCTGAGCACGCCTCAGGCTGTGATCTTTGTTCTTTTCCACCTTCATCTTCTGACTTTTTGGCTGCCTGTAGGTGGATGGGGGTTGTGGAGAAAGCAGAGTTCTCTTCCCCTCTGAGCAGCCTTTAAAGTCTCACCTTGATCAAGTCCTGAGTGACCCAGGGCAGTGAGAGCCCTGTAAAATGGGCAAATACCAGGAGATCACAGCCTGAAGGGAATGAGGTGGGTCCATGGAGAGAACTGGAATGTTTTTCTCCTTGTGTCACGTGTGCTCCTGTCCCCAGGGAAGCAGCCAGCATTTCCCTGTGCCCTTGCATCCTGGGAATGCTCCCCAGGGCTCTCCTGTCTCTGCAAATGATGGATCTGAACTAACAGATGCCTTTTTTCTCCTCCCTTCCCTCCAAAGACACTGTCTCCAGCAAGCTGCAGAACAACAACGTGTACACCATTGCCAAGAGGAACGTGGAGGGGCAGGACATGCTCTACCAGTCCCTGAAGCTCACCAATGGCATCTGGATCCTGGCTGAGCTGCGCATCCAGCCCGGCAACCCCAACTACACGGTGAGAGCCCT